ACAGACACTCTGAGCTCGGTCTCTTTCTCAGACTCCAGGGACACTACGGCTGCCAGAAACTTGAGTGATCAAATGCCAGCGACATAAATGTCATGTCAAGAAGGGGAGTTTAGACAAAACAAGACGTCTGTATGTGGGTCGTCGTGGCGCAGGGGGTAGAGCGGGCGCGCTGGGAACCGCAAGGTTGAACCCCGGCTGCCCCATGTCTCAAGTCGAAGTGTCCCTGAGCAAGACACCTAACGCCTAATTGCTCCCCGGGCAAAATGTATTAAAGCCATGGGTTTAAAGTGTAATGTAAGTCGCTTTGGATAAAAGCGTCTGCTAAATGACCTGTAATGTAATAATGTAACGTTTGTACAATAAATTGGGCATATGACGTGTCAGCTGAGATAACAGGAGGTCTGGAACAATCAGACCTCTGTCTGTGTTTATGGTACCAAATCTCAAGTATATATTGTAGCAGGCTTGGCGCATGACTTGTATGTGTGTCCACTCTGTCTCCTGTTTGCAAACATTAAATGTCCTGTTTTTGATGATTTTACACCGGCGTCGAGTGAGAATTTTTCTAACAAAGACATATTTAATATTTAGATATTTAATAGGAGCAGGTGAGCAATAGCAACCCAGTCTCACAGAAAAACGTGTAATGGGGAGACAATATTTTAAGAATTTGTATGCATTTCGAGAAGTATGCGTTTTATTTTCATAATCTTCTATCAGAGAATGTAGCAGACCTTCCGTTTATGCAAGGCAATGTAAATGAATGGGTCGAAATAAAACGTAGTATTGTCACGATTTTGGAGATAAAGCGTGAGAATACCACGTTCCACAACGTAGCTATTACACGTTTTGCGGTGAGACTGGGTTGTTATGAGACATAACATTTAAAAAAAAATAGCATATCGATTAAATTTAAATTTAATTGAAAGAAAAAATACATCAGTAATTATATGAATTAAGTGAAATGCACAAACATCAGTGCACTGTCAATATTGAGGTGGATTTCACGGGAATGCACTTGAATAAATGCACCGTTCCCTCTCTGCGCTTTGACTAAAGGGCGGCTCTCACCCGTAACCCCGACCTCGCATCTAACACAACGAACACAGCTTCCTTCTTCCCTTTAAGTAATAAGTAACTGCCGCGTTTTCATGAGAAGAAAGATTTGTTTTTAGTTTTTTCTAACCCTTTCCCTTTTTTGCGGTAAATTTGTATAATCTTCTAGGAAGAACATGATTCTTTAAAAAATGTCCAAATATATCAAATATGCATAACCAAAGAATAACTGTCCGTATGTTTGTGCATATTTTTTCCGCTTATCAGAGGACCTATTCATCAGATCTACAACTAAGCTAAATTTGCATTCTCATTCACAGCAGCTCTTGGATATATAGCTGGATATAGTTATACAATAACCAAATTTTTGCTGTGAGACTGGGTTGCAACTGACCAAAACCTTTTCATGACTTCCTTTAGTCCACAAAAAAGTAATTAAAGAGCGTGAAGGTCATCAATGTGACTGCAAAGAAAACTGTTTGATTGTGGAACCAATGTGAGCTTTCTTCACCAGTAGTAGAACAGGAAGAAGATGTAAGGGACGCTGATGACGACCTGCAGCCAGCGCCAGTCAGGGATGAAGTAGGCCAGCAGAGGGAGGACGAGGACGCCCCCGCTGAAGAACATCTGGAACAAAATACTGACCGTCCGCCTGTACTGCACTCCAACTATCTCTGTGACTAACAGACGGGATGCACGTTAGAACAGAACTATATGGCACCAAAACAAAAGAGATGAAGATGACTTGGAAACGTTTGTTCAGTATTAGGAAACACGGAAAGTCGTCATTACGCAGCACGTATGAGGACATCCAGGCTCCTTTAGCGCCGAAGCCTAAGATGGACCTCAAAACCAGGATGGAGATGTAGTTTGGAGCAAAAGCTACGGCAATCCCTGCGATCGCATTCAGTGCGTTGGACATCAGGAAACTCAGCTTGCGGCCAAACCTGCAAAGACACGATTCCTTTCAAAATAAGATAAAACTTGATTGAACACAATAATGTGATAAAATGCCACTGATGGTGATGGTGCCATGTAACTGCAGTCATTATTTATAGCAAGACGATTATTTCTTTGAAAATGTATGCAGTTGAGGCTATGCCTAACTGGTGTATTTAGGAAAATTGATAAATGCAAATACATAAAGTAGTAGTTGTAAACACATAAATGTGTAACGTGAAATCCGTGCATGAGGATTTCTCCCCAAAAGCTGTGAAGATGACATCAGAAAATCCTCACTGCATGTCCAAAATCTCCTTGCCATATAAGTCATGTTTTACCTGTTCACTCCATTTTGTATTACAGCTTTGGATGCAACTTCAGCGAGACAAGTCCGTTAGGAATAAATCCGGACCAACCTGACTGCTATTTGTAAAACAGATCTAAGTTTAATTGAATTAATTGACCATGGGTGGTTATGGAAATAATTCAGCGCCTTACCTGTCAGCAAGGAAACCAAAAGCAAAGCTGCCAATGAGGAAGCCCAGATTGAGAGCGGACTGGTTCAAGTCCACAAACCATCCATCTGAGCACACCAAGTTAAACTGGGACCAAACGCATAACAGTTCCATGTCTTTATGAGAGATATCTTTGTGTCTGGACTATTCAATATTGAATGATTTCATTGCTGAACTGTGACTTGACCAACACATTTCTTTTCTTTTGAAACTTGCAACACGAATGAATTCAATTTCTCTCCTCACCTCTGTGACAAAGGACTCCCTGCCTTCATACTGGTACTCCCAGCCATCCTTAAAAGATAAAACAAAGCATTGTATTCACCAGAGATGGTGAAAAAAACACACACACAATTAGATTTTGAAAGGAAGGACACTAATTCCACCTATTGCTGCTTTGTTGGTTTGACTCAACTTTGCAAACCCTTGGGATGTTTGACATCCGGAGAATCTGTGCACACCACTGCCGAAGAGCTTAAGTACCGACTTTTATCTTAACACAATTTCAGGCACAAAGAATAGACTTTAATTTTAAAGAGGCCTCTTCCACCTAAATATGAATCTATGGCTCGTTCCGATGATTAAAAGCTCCACCAACAAGCAAATCGCTCAGTTTGTTCAGTCTGTGAAGTTCAGTCTTTGTTAAGGCCAAACATAATCCTTCTGCCCAAGTGGCCTGCAATGATTTTATTTGAATAAACTTGATATATTTTAAGACTGTCCCGAGGCAATAAACCAAAAACAATATCAGTCATTTGTCCAATTTCTGCGTTTTAATTTCAAGTAATCTCTAAAGTACACATACATTTTATAATATATTTCATATTTTATCTTAGAGTTTATTATAGTTTGATTCATTTGTTTTAAATATAAATGAGCTGTAACATTCAGAGCATAATACATAGACTATTGGCTATATATAGATGTTGGGGAGCAGCTCCCTGAGCAGACAGTAAGGGCTTTGTGGCGATTACTTATATAATGTGTTGATTAGCACTACCTTTTTTTACTGTCTTTGTGCTAAGCTATGCTAACCATGTACTGTATGCACGGTGTAGACATGAGTGCCATTGATATTCTTTTCACATCAGCCAGCTGTTCCCCCGTTTCCAAACACCAGCACTGAAAATGGGCTACTAATTTTGATATATTTGTTATTTTAAAAGGCTCTCTACAATTGCTGCTGCAGAACCAAATAACCCAACAGACTTTGGATCAACCTCACAGGTCTCACCTTGCAAGCGGTAACCGGGACCCCGCTGAGGTCCAGCTCCTGCGTATCACAGGTGAGCGCCGTGGCGTTCCAGTCGGCCTCGTACTGCTCGCAGCTGCTCCGCTGCAGCACCCCGGAGCTGTTGACCAGAGGCGCCGTCAGCCTGCGGCTGGCCGCCGGGCTCCAGCCGCACGCCTCCCTCCTCTGGGCCACGGCGGGGTCCCGGCACCAGTGATCCGGGGTGAAGCCCTGGAAGACGATGCCGACGTACACCCCTGACAAAGGCAACGACACCAGGCACAGCAGGGCGACGACGCGCCGCTGGCAACGTCCAAAATTCCCGGCCTCCTCCAGCAGGTCATCAAAGGTCGTCATTGCTGCAGCTGTGCAGGTTCCCAGTGTTGCAGAGATCAAAACCAGTGAAGTCTTTGCAGTTCTGCCCACGCTGGATGAGTCCGCTTACGCGTCGACAGGCCGGCAGACCCTCCTCTGCTTCGTTTGGAGCTGAAGTCCAAAAAGGCCCGTAGAGAATGCTGCACAGCTGAAAACACGGGAATGTTTACTGGAGCCAAACCGAGGACTTGCACAATCATGGGATGAACCTCAGTTGGCCACAAGCCAAAAAACCCCTCTTTGAGTGGGTTTCGACTGTGCTGCTATAGTTTGTCATTTTTATTCAAAATCACTGTGTAAACAGGACGTTCAAATAACATATCAGGAACTTGTAGTGAATCCACAAGAGACGGGGGGGTAAACTCAAAGCATTGATTATACAAGAAAGGAAGCTGACTGACAGGGCAAACTGCAGAGGTCAACAGTGCAAGCATTGACCCTTCAAATAAACATTATGTAATTGTGAAAAGCCTTTGACACTGTAGGGAAGTGCTTGTAGATAAATTCAGTACACAATGGCAATGTCAGTTTGTAAATACAAATACTTTCCGGTCATACTTAAACGTTTTTGGTCTTGTCTGTACCTTCCACCAGCTCTCTTCATTTTAATTTAGGTTAAAGCAACTCTGTCACATCCCACGTCAACGTTGGCAAACGAGATCGCTGCGACGGCGGCCATTTTGGTCCGAGTCAATGCTGTCGCGTTGCTGAGCAACGTCTCAGGAGGACGCTCGGCCTCACGACTGGTCTGCTCAGCAGCTTTGGCTGGTCGTCGGTTCAAAACTCTTGTTCAGTAAAAATGTAACTCCACCGTAAACAAATTAGTTTTGACTAAATGATCCTGAAAGAAATTCCTTAGGACAGAAAGTACTCGAATGAACTCAAGTTCAGGCAATCAAATTTATTTACACCAGCGACCATTTACAAAAATACATTAAATACATCTCGTTTTCTACTTAATCAAATGAATAGCTGCATTTCATCTGCAATTCGTGGGCATATGAAACAACACAAAGTAACACATCCTCATCTCCAGCACACTATACAGGCGCGCGCACACACACACACACACACACACACACACACACACACACACACACACACACACTCTCACAAATGAGCGGTGCCCGGCTTTGAAGCAACTTTGATAAAGTGGACAGGTCAGAAAAATTACAACTTCCTGGTTGGTCACATGACGTCATCGGGCCCAAAAAAACATCTACCCTTCGACAGACTTTGGCAAAGAGGCGTCAGTAACACAGCAGCTTTTTTTCTTGGTGGTAAATAAACTTCCCAGTATAAACACTTGAAGGGGCCTTATTTACATTTTCCGTATCCCAAAAGCTGTTAACAGCACCAGATAAGCCGAATCAGAGATATTTTCCTCCTTCTGTTAATCAAATGAGCATGAAAACAACTCTGGAAGGTTAAAAACGAAAACACGAGTGCGCTTGCTGTTAGGACCACCGCTCCAGAGGTGGCTTCATCTGCCACGGGGCGACTTTCATTAGGAAATAAATACTTTGGTCACAGAAGCAGATTAAACAGTTGCTGGTTCTTTGTCGGTCGAAAAGTCGGCGGCAGGCAGCAAGTTGACCGACTGCTGTTTCTTCAGTGCAGCGTTCTCCTTCAATCTGAAAACCAAACGATTACCTGATGTACAGAGCTGACATGAACAATTAGTTAATCACCAGGAAAATGTCCGGGCTACTGCTTTGGTAGCCAAATAATTGTGCCAGTAACTCTTTAAGCAACAGCTTGAAAACAGCTTTTTTTGTCATTAGTCATTAAATATCTTTGCTGCAGAGTTGGTCAGACAATACAAGACATTTGCAGAAGTCACCTTGGTCACAATAATCTGAAAAGATTGTGAAAAAGGACCCTTTGCAGGGAGGAGAATATAACATAATGAGGGAAACCGGGTTATTTCGGCAGCGCGTCCTCACTTCTCTGGGAACTCGATGTCATTGATGGTGTCGGGCAGCGGCACACCTCTGGTCTCAGGAAGCAGCAGCACCAAACCACCGGCCACGAAAGCCAGAGACCCTGCAGGACACACAAACTATTAGACACCCTGGGATCTCTCAGTCACACCACAATCGATTCAGAATCGATTTAAAATGCGCCACGGACCCTTTTATTTTACCGTTTATAAAAGTACTGGTGACCTGAATGCATTGCATTTAAAATACTTTGCATTTAGAGAACATCCTCCAGCATTGTGGTCTGTCTGTGGTGCAAACTTTGGAAAGACTTCTATGATTTCGATGTTCTCAATCCACAATAATATCAAACCCACCAAAGATGATGAGCGGCAGCTCCAGCCAGATGACCGCCAGTCGGTAGAGCAGGAAGGGAGCGATGATGCCTCCAACATCACAAAGCGTGGAGCAGACCGACACGCCGAGATTCCTACGCACAAACGAACAACCAGCAAACGTTTAGCTCCCGACACACTGATGTCTGGCGGCAAAAGCAAAATATTAGATTATACACAAACTGGACACTTTCACATAACTTCATGTCCCCTCAGGAACAATAAAGGACAGCAAGCGTTGCAGCGCCAATAAATCTGATTTCCTGACTTTAGGATTGTGGTCAACCACGGCGAGCTGGTGTCAAAACCAAAGCATTTTCTTTTATTCATTCGCTATTTCAATCCAAAGCAACTCACAATAAGCCTCAGCAGACAACATTTTGCAAAGTGCACTCCTCACGAGTCCCGTGTGCGCGTGTCACCTGACAAACGTCGGGTAGAGCTCCGTGTTCACGAACACCACCATCTCGAAGGCCATGGTGATGCCCAGCCGGCCGACGCAGGCCACCACCGTCTTCAGCCAGACCAGGTCTGCCAGGGACAGAGAGGGACGTGAATGTGCTGACGCGCAAACATCTGGTTTCCCCCCCACCGTCTCCGCGTTTTGGCCCGGCGACTCACTGTCGGGGATGAAGGCGGTGATAAAGCAGGCGGCGCCGGCCACGATGTTGGCGGAGGCGAAGGGAACGCGGCGGCCGACGCGTTCGATGGTGAAGAGGATGAGGAGGGCGGCCGGGAACTCCACCAGGCCGGAGATGAGGAAGTCGACGTAGACGTTTCCTTCCAGAATGCCCAGCCTCATGATCAAGCCCTGGTAGACCACAGCACTGGTGAACCTGGAGGAGAATCGGAAGAATTATTGAAACTACTTTGAGACGACCATCTTAATTTAGGTCTTGTTAAAAAGCATCACAAAGAAAAAATGCTCACCAGTTGAAGCTGAGAATTAAAGTGTGTTTTCTCATTTTGGGAGTTCTGATCAGATCCATGAAGGAGGCGGCGCAGTACTCGGCGTTGTCATCTGTCAGATTCTGCAGGATCAATGTTGATTGTGATCAATTCACGCTGCAGTTCACTTTCTTACATTAAAAAAACTTTATCTGGTTGAAAGAACTGTAAAATTGCAGTTGGTTTAGAATTTCCCTGATTAAGCTATTCACCGTATATTTTAAAGATTAAAATGTGTTTTTTTTATATTTGACATTTCAGGTACTTTGTCAGATAAGTCACTAATTCTTTTTAAACATTATAGTATTTTCCTTTTTTAAAGTTCCCAAAAATATCTTTCAGAATGAACCCTTCAGGCTCTGAAATGTGCGTAAAACGATAGCGGTTAAATTGCCGTTGCTCTTCAAAGATTTGTAAGAATAATGTGTAGGTTCTGGCAGCATCTAGCAGCGACGGTGCAAATCATAAGCAACAACATGGCTGTATTAGATAAGTAACTTCAAACTAAATAAAACCAGCTCTGTTAAACCAACAGCCACCTCGATGTTCTTGGACAGGGTCATCTTGTTCTCCTTGGCCATGGCCTCGGTGATCTCAATAGCGTCAGCGTTTTTGTTCTGAGAGAGAAGCCATCTTGGAGATTCTGGGACAAACCTGACGGTACAAACACTCCGATGCAGGAACAGCAAAAACTTGTTTCATCTTCCAACTGAATTTCTATTTTCTTAATTCAAAGAGAATGAAACGAAATGAGAGTCAGGAGACATCCCCGTTTAAGGCATCGCCAGGCGTTTTCTCACCAATAGTAGGACACGAAGAGGACGTAAGGGGCGCTGATGACCACCTGCAGCCAGCGCCAGTCTGTGATGAAGTAGGCCAGCAGAGGGAGGAGAAGAATACCGACGCTGAAGAACATCTGGTAAAGGACTCCCACCGTGCGTCTGTACTCCACCCCCACGATCTCTGTGACTGAGGCGGAAGAGGAGAAACGCTTTCACGCATCGTGGAAGGCCTCAGATGCGCGCGTGTAGCCTCCTGAACCTTGTTGAACCGTAAAGCCCAGCTGGGGAGGTTAAACGCGGCCCTTACTCAGCACGTAGCCGACCACCCAGCCCCCTTTCACTCCGAAGCCTTGCAGCGTTCGGAAAACCAGCAGAGACGCGTAGTTCGGAGCCACGGCCACCAGGATCCCCGCGACCCCGTTCAGCAGGTTGGACATCAGGAAACTCCTTTTCCTGCCGAACCTGAGGACGCAGAAACAAACAGCCATGTTTTTTTTTTGTTTTTTTCACACAATAGAAATCTTGTAGCAGCAATGTTTCAGTTTCAGAGCAACTTAAAATCTTAAAATAACTGCAGCACTTCCTGTGTGTGTGATTTTACGTTGGGTGTTTCTAAACGGGCAGATAATTGCAATGCATCCGACTAAATCAGTTGTCACATCTTCATGTTCATCTGATTCCTGACCTGTCGGCCAGGTAGCCAATCGTGATGCTTCCAATCAGGAAGCCCACGTTGAGAGTGGCCTGGTACATGTCCACCAACCAGGCCTCGGAGCAGACCAGGTCAAACTGGAACAACAGGTCAATCGTGACATTTATTTATCTCGATACATTTCTTGAGTGTAACCTTTTTTTTCTGTGGGTAAACTATGTGTATGTGACATTTTATGTGGTTCTCCTAATTTCCACTAAAAAGAAAATCATCTCAAAGAGCGTGCGACTCTCCTCTGAAACCAAAAATATTAAATTTGACATTTCTATATCATGCAAATGAGATGAAACATGTACATGAGTGAGTCTAGTGATGCCCAACTAAGCCGATCACCTCATCACCTGACTCCATCCTCCGTGCACGGACGTAAGGGTCTACTTCCTGGCTTACCTCCGTGACGAAGGATTGCCTGCCCTCATGGTCGTACTCCCAGCCCTCTTTGCAGGCCCTGGTGGGGGTTCTGCTGAGGTCCAGCTCCTGCGTATCACAGGTGAGCGCCGTGGCGTTCCAGTCGGCCTCGTACTGCTCGCAGCTGCTCCGCTGCAGCACCCCGGAGCTGTTGACCAGAGGCGCCGTCAGCCTGCGGCTGGCCGCCGGGCTCCAGCCGCACGCCTCCCTCCTCTGGGCCACGGCGGGGTCCCGGCACCAGTGATCCGGGGTGAAGCCCTGGAAGACGATGCCGACGTACACCCCTGTAAAAGGCAACGACACCAGGCACAGCAGGGCGAAGATGCGCTTCTGGCAGCGGCCGAACTTCCCGGCTTCTTCCAAGATGTCGTCAAAAGAGGTCATGGCTGCAATGTGGTTGGTGGTTTTTTTTTTTTAATTTCCCCCCCTTCTCGACAACGACTGACTAAACAATTTCAACCGCAGCGTGGGAGCATCTGCAGTGGCGACAGTGTAGATGCTGAGGCTCGCTGCAGAGTAACCGCACGCCGTCCTGTCCTTTGGGTTTTAAACAGGACGAGCAGGAGCAAAGGTCCACGGGCCGACGTTTCTGCAGACGTCAGACCAGGTGCGTAGACGGCCGACCCGGGGACTCATTAACACGGGCCTGCTTGTGCAGCCCGTCTCTGCATGTCCTGCATGCACAGTGACGCGATTAATCAGTGAACATTTCAATGTTGCGTCTGGGAGTCCGCGGCACGTGACGATCTGACATCTGGCGTGTCGTCTTTGCAGCAGGGGAGCCAGAAAAAGGGCTTCAAGTCTAATTTTCTCTTAGTGATTGTGGCACTCTGACCGCGTCTCAAGTGAAAGTTTGAAGCTTGTAATCATCTCAAAAAACAAATTAAAGTCTAAAATCCCTCTCAACAAGTACGGGTCTCAAATCCCATTATTAGTCAGTATGTGATCGGACCACAGCAGAGATAAACAGCAGACCTTTTTTTATTCAAATAATGATCTTTTTTTATTTGACATCAATGTTTTTAAATAAGGAACAAGCAAAAAGATGAAAAAAAAACCCAACATATCTTACACCAACTCAACCGTAATAATGAACAAAAAGTACCGAATCATCACAGAAAATGCATTGTGCTTTTTTTCTTTCTTCTTCTTTTAGTCACATCCCGTTTCTGAATTCAAATCCCGACCTTAATAGCAGACGCTGAATTAGCTTCACGTAACCCAGACTCTCTGCTCGTGTGTCTCTGTGTGTGTGTAGAAAGTCCATTCATGTCTGCATGGGGACGAAAAGGTCGAGGACAGCACCATGCACACGCTTGAGCTTTGGTTGCTAAATACAGCAGGAACAGACTTTCTGCAACAATGGAAATAAAAGACTTATAACGCGATAAACGGATCATAAAGTGGCAAACACAGGTAGACGAAGGAGTAAAGATGCTTTCACAGCAACAACTGAGGTACAAATGCTGCACCAACGTCTCAAACTAAAAGTTAATGAAGGTCTGCCAACGATAAGTTTGATTGGATTTCATGTCTTGCTGGACTTTGAATGTATAAATATGGATTCTTGACATTTCATTCGGAGTTAAATCTTTCTCAGGAGACCGGCCCCGTGTGCTGCGCACTAACTAGCACATTGTTGTTGTTGTTTTTTGCAAATAGCTTCACACATTGCCAGATTACATGAATCAAATTTTGGGGGAAGGTGTGCGCAGTGCTTCACTTCTAAAGCGTACAAGTTAAAATAGATTGTGAAAAGTTTCTGTTGATGTTGGAGATCATAAATGACTGAAGAGGAACAGAAGGGGACCAGGGACACAATGTTCTCCATTTCCCAATTGTTATGGCACGTGCATATAAAATAAAGGTTTGTAATTTAGAGATAGTTTTCATTTTTGGGGCAAAAAAGTTTAACACATCTTTTTTTTAATATAAATACTCTAAATGGTGAGCCTTCTTTAATTGATTGACACACGCGGTCAGCTTTTCATTTTATACCCAATAGCTTTTCTGTGGATTGAATACGGAGAAAACGCAAAAAGTGAATTTACTGACACGACCCCCTTCGTTCCATCCACAATGTAATCAATGAACGTGGGGCGATAAAAAGTCACGCGCTGTGGCACTGCTGTTTGTGATCGCAAATCATTGCAAAAAACCTTTCAATAAATCATGAGCTTCTCTCTCGAGGTTGTACATTCACCGACGGTAAGTTCTGAGGAAATCAATCTGTGGAACGGTCAGCGAGGGCATTCAGTTAAATTGGCCACGTGGGAATAAAACACCTGTAAATGAGAAGCCTCAAAATGTCCCGTGACATAAATACTTACAAAAGGCCGATGGATGGTCTGCAACAAATGATTCCTTTCATTAGAAATGGATCCACTGATCACTTATAATATTTCAGAAATTTAAACAAAAGAACATTTATAGTTTGAACAACCATCTGACTTATTATAATATTGATAATCGGTCAATTATTAATAGTTTCAGCATCAATGACACAAAGCCAGTGTGTTACTTTCTCTAGAGCTCCGGAGGACAGCGTGACGAATGGATGCTTGATCTTTGGGTTTTAGACTGATGTTGGGACAGAAGATGACCGGTGATGGGCACTTTTTTTTCCACATTCGATAATGAAAATATCAGTTTGTTGCAGCCTTAGAAAACCAGAGAAGAAGAAGGTTCATCACAGACAAACCCTCCATCTTTAGTTGCAGGAACAACATCGATTCGTTTCAACTTTGCAACCAAAGAACACAGATGCTCACGAATCAGTTTGATGTACAACCAAAACACCTCAAGCCCCGGATCTCCATCATTACCGACATACTTCTTTTAAAACACTGGTTTGATTATGAAGCATGCAAAATGTCAAATGTAAATAAACTGCCTGCATTCTTGATGATTAGATGCTTCACGTCGTTCTAATTTCTTCCTTATCATCACATGCATTTGGGTAAAAACGGCTGATTTGGGCCCCAAACAAAGCCCAAACGAGCCGCACAAGCGTGGCACAGCGAAGTATCAACTCATTCATTAATGCCAGCAGTGGCGGTAGAAATATGGCTTTGGCGAGGGAGGTGTTGGGGGGACTGGATGGGGAATTTAAAAAAAAAAAAAAAAAACCTAACCTAAACTTCTCAAATTTCCCTTACAACCTCTGTCCTCGCCATCCCGCCATCCCTCCATTCACACTTAAGGCCATCGCTTTTTTCCCCTCCAAACCAGAAACAAACCAGAGGTTCATACAGACAGTCAGGTCAGACACGCATTTAAATAACAAACAAAACGTGTGAGCAATTCACCGACGAAGACAACAAACAGACAAACAAAATGTCCATGTTATAGAACATCATCTTCTATGTACAACGTCCCTGATCAACACAAGACAAAAATCAATCTGTTGCCGGATTAGTCGATGACAAAGCAAAGTAAGTTCATCAGCAGGAAGGCATCGCGATTTCTTTTTCGGGGGGGAAAGAAAGAAGACAGGCGAATGTAGCAACTGTAAACAGCAAGAACAGACAACCGGATGTCTCGATTCCCTTTAGAAACAACACAAGCCGACAGCGTCACAGCCCGCCGCCAGGGAACGACGCCACTTCCCCCCCCCTGCTTTCTGTTTTGCTTTAATAGTCGTTGGCAGAAAAATCTGCCAAATGGTTTCAATATTGAGCTTCTTCGCTGTACATCTCACCGAGGTTATCAAATACAGGCCTGGAAAAGAAAAATAAACTCCAGAAAGGCCGCCAAAGCGTTTCTTTTTATCCGCCCCAATGACATGGTATTATTCTTCAGAAGCTCTCTGATTAATGCTGCACTGAAGATCTAAAGCCATGGAAAAACAAAAACTCGAAAAGAAGAGAAAACACTGAATTCACATCTTTTCACTCACACTGCAGAGCCTCAAAGAAGGTGCCTTGTGTGCCTCCGGGGCTGAATTTTAGAGTCTATATTAGATAAATGTAGCAAGATTGACGTAGCTAAAGTAACTAATGGTGTAGGTCAAAAAAAAACAGCCTGCAGATCGCTTTAAATAATGAGCTACCAATAAATAAACCATATGCTAACATTGATAGTCTGACGGTGAACATGACGGAGTCGAAGCCCAGTCCAAAGAGGTGGAATTCCAAAAGAGAGGAAAGGCTTTGCTGCTGCTGCTGCTGCTATGGAGACATTCACTGAGAAAGAAGAGTCCAGACTGGTTGTGTAGGTGAGCAGGACGGAGGAAGTGACATCACACCCTGAGGAGGTCCTCGTCGCTGTCGTCCTCGTCCCGTTTCCTATTGGCTGCCGTGCCGTTGCCGTTATTGAGGCCCGCTGAGCGAGGTTTCCTGCCCTGCCGCTTCCTCTCCGACTCGTCCAGGAGGCCCACCAGGTCCTCGTCGCTCTCCTCCTGTACAAGAAGCGCATCCCGTGAGGCGTTGCGAGTGCCACATTAGGGAAAAACAACGACGCCTGGACAGATGTTTCGGGTACCTGAAGGAAGGGGCCGCGGTGGGCCGAAGAGCGCCTGGAGTTCCCGGAGGACTTCACCACTCGCACCCCCGGGACGCTGAGCACCTCGTCCTCGCTGTCGTCCTCGTCGTTCTGCTCGTCCAGCGAGAATGAGCGCAGGCCGTCCGCGTTCACCGGCTTGGTCGTGATGTGGCCGTTGCCGTGGTTTTTCTTTCCCCGGTGGGAGGACGAGGGAGTCGCCTCGAGCTCCTCCATCAGCCACTCCATCTCCTCTTCACCCCCTTCTTCGTCCATGTTGACCTAAGAATTACAAGTTGGAACGAACACAATACGTTTTATTTTACCAACCTGGCAGATGTGTTCTTTTCCCTCCTAATGTAGGAAACCAGTCATTTTTATCTATGCAGCTGCCTGCAGGGACCAGTTTCAAGAGTATAACTGTGACATAAGCATATATATATATATATGAATATTGACCCGTTTTAAAGGGAAACGGCACACACACAGAAAGATTGACTGCTGAACCTTTAGAAGAGTGCACACAATGCCAGGTAGCAAACTGGGTCGGCGGGGGACGTTCACAATGTGGGCCAATGTTAAGGACTTGAGCGATTAAACAATTTTTTTTTTAGATGTTGCATTGTTTAAAAGCAAAAAACTGAATTATCTAAACAGTTGGCTGTGAAGAGACAGAATGAATTGATTTATTAGATCAACCCACCTTGGAATATTTATAGGAGACTTGGTTTCCTCTCCTGCAGCAGCCAACGACCTTCTGGATCACCAACTCTCTGTTGTTGATGACAACGACGGCAAGACACACAATCATTAAGGGTAAAAATAAAATAAAAAACCTCTCCAAAAGGTTCAGTTTCCCTGCTTCCGGTGGTCTCACCTTCTCTCTTTCTTGTGGAGCAGCAGCCCGAGCAGGCCGACCGACAGAACCACCAGCAGCAGACTCAGCACCAGCCCCGTCGCCGGCCTCCGCCCGGAGAAAAGGGAAGCGTCGCCGTCTACCGAGTCCTCGGTGCCCACGTCAACACTTCTGCAACGACGGTGGAAAGAAAGACTTATGCGCACATTCCTCATTTCTCAAACTCACTTCTCATGCAGTTAAAAAATGTTTGCTGCTCACGTGAGACCACACACGGCGTCCGTGTGCCACACAAACAGATACTGGCATCCATCCGTCTCCAGCATGAACTCGGGGATGCCGACGCCCGCCGAGGGGTTACAGTGGAACATGATGGTGGATGACACCATTTTTTTCTTCTCCCGCCCGCACGGGGACTGAGAGGGCACCATCACGTCCAGGTTTCCTCCTAGCGGCAGAGCAGAGGCGTTGGATGGCATGGATGACATGGCAACACAAGGTGGCCCTCGTTGGGTAACACGCAACGGGATCACAACAAATGATTTTCATGTTTCGCGTTGATCCCTGGTGATGAACGCGGTTTGAGGGCACCGGAGTCCCTTTGGAGAACCCTCATTGTAATGCTGCAGGGTCTTCCCTTCATCTCTCTACTTACAACAGTGAGAATATATGGACCAGAAGTGTTGACCCACCAAACATCACATCAATCCACCTTTCGCCGTGATTTGACCACTGATTATTACTAAATAAGAGGTATAGATTGCTTTACCTTTCACGTAGTACCTGGCCTCATTTGAAGAGCCAATCCTGCGCCGGTTGTTCCCGTTGAGTTTGACCTGGCAGATGTTGGCACCGACACAGATGGGCAGAGAGTTGTTGGTTATGCCGGACAACTGGATGTGGTAGATGTAGCGGTCGCCGTTGGGACGGATGTCTCCAGACGCCTGATGGTGGCTGAGAAGAGAAGGTTAAAAAAACAAGGCTAAACAGAAAGTCCCAAGTGGCAAATAAAATCATCTCCTACTCGTGTTTTTGCACCGAGGGGAGATATTTGGATGCAGGAGGAGTGTGTGCGCTGGCGTTACCTGAAGTAAAGCTTTCCCAGATTGAGGCTGGCTCCGGTGTCGGGAACCTGTATCGTCCCATTGACCATCTGCACCTCGTGCTGCTTCACAGCACACGCCGACTGAGTCTCCCAGCCAATCACAAACTCGCACGTCGCCTTATTGACGCTGTTCACGCGGAACAAAGTGGGGCCGATTTAGAGAAACATTTCAGACTTAAAAGAACCAATTGAACAAGCGGAGGGAATTTAAAAGCAAAACGACAATAAATGCATTGAAACAAACAAATTAAACATTAAGGAAGGAGCCATTCATATTATACAAAACTTAGAATCTAATTGAATCTGCTTTTGGGAAAAAAGTAAACTACCACAACAAAGAGACAATTCATCAGTAGTTAAGACCTCACAATGAGCAAATGCATATTTTGAACAGGTAACTGGAAAACAAATATTCTACTCTCTTTCTTCTATGCTCCATTACATACAGATTTTAAAATTGATTCAGTAGGAACTCAACGTTTTCAATCTCTGAAATCTGGCCAAAACCCGCTGTTTTGTTTGGGGTTGTGTGTCACCTGATGAGGGCCGGGTGTCCGACAGTGGAGCCACAGCTCAGCTGGATCACGGTCTTGGCTTGGACGCCATTACCACAGACATCTTGTCCCGCTGAGTAACTGACAGTTATCTTTCCATCTGTGAAAAGCAGATTGAGAGCTGTGATCCGAAAGCCGTAATGATTTCCGTTTCATTCGGTCGGTTTGGAGTTACACAACAGCATCACCATATAAAAAGCCTCGCCAAAGGAAGGTAATATGCATTCAAATATTAATACTAACATTTAAACCATCAAGCAGATATTCCTCTTCTCAAAAAGTACAAAACGAAGCACACAGACATGTACATGGCTCGGTTACCCACCATCATAGCTCATTTTCTGGGTATAAACTCGGCCCAGTGTTTGGTTAACTCCGGCTGCTGTGTGCCGGCACACAGTTGCTCCCCCTGGACAGCCATGCGATCTGCCATGGATGCCCTGACACAGGTTAATGAAGTACCTACGGGTAAAAGCACAAAGAATCTCATTTAAATGAAGGCAGGACTTGGAGGTACGTTCACAAACGCATCTATTGTGAAGAAGGGAACATCACTGATGCCTGAAATATTTCTCATATTTATTTGTATCCAGTATTTTAACATTTAGTTCCCAGTTTTGCAACTGACAGTGGAGTAGTCATGCCTCATTTTTAAAAATCCTCACTTTTGTGATCTCCAACCGTCATTGTAAGGAGTAATGATGTAAATCCAGACTTACGAATCTCCCTGGTGTCTGAACTTCCACGGCTCAGTGAGGGAGGACAGGGTTCGCAGGTCAAAGGTCTGGTGCCGGCTGACCAGTTCACACTCCATCTTCATCGGGGGACAAACAGCGCTGGTGCGCCACTGAAAAGTGGCCGAACAACCCGCCGTCTCGGAGAGCAGCTGTGGAGAGCCGCGGCCCGCCGACTCGTCGCAGGTAAACAATATGGAGGACTGGCGCTTACCAGAGGCTGAAAGAGAAAGAGAAGCCAGAGGATTAATGCAAAAAAAACCATTTGAGGAAGATTTAAACACATGGTTATGAATCCACAAGGGTACAGAATGATCATTTGATGACTCGCTCTTTTGCTTTGCTTGCATTAGATGCTGTCTTAACTTCCCCTGTCAACAGTTCAAAGCTTGAGTAATCGTCGGAGTAATAATGTCACAGTTCACAAGGACGGCTTTAAGGTCGTCACATCTGTGCCGTACGGTCAAAGCCTTCACCTGCATTGCAGAATCCCCACTTCTTGTCCTTGTTGTAGTCGGCGGTGGTGGCACACCACATCCTGCCATCCGTGCGTTCATCTTTGGTGCACTCCGTGTACGACTTCTTCATGAACGTGAAGGGGAACACGCACGCCTCGCCCTCATTTGTCACTGGGACACAAAAACGAAAACATCCACCACCTTCTTTAGTGGTCCAAAACACAGTGAGAGAAAAATGTCTCGTCTATATTGCAGACAATACCTGGTGGGCAGGGATCTCCCCCGCCATACTGCATCAGTACGGCGTCCTCGTCATGCTTGTAGTCCATCGTCATGGCCTTGCTGATGCCAAAGGATGATGCCGACATGTCTGATCCAGAACCAGACACCCGGCAAACCGCGCTCTTCTTGCAGCCCGTATCGGGCACAGAGCCGCAGACGTTGATGCGGTAGACGCTGGAGCTCGCTGCCACCTGATATAAAGAGAGTCAACTTCACTCCAGCACTTAAAAATGAGCCAGCTTGCAGCTTTTGGTGCTATTGCGGTTGCAAATTGCAACCTGCCGAGCCTCCCTGTGCTAACTTCTCCTCGTTTGCCGCTTGCCTCCGATAACACTACCATAGCTGAAATTTACGTCAGGTGTTTCACAATCGTGTCGGTGAAATCCTGTGAGCTTCAGGTAAAAAGATGGCCGGCTCTTACTGGAGCTGGTGTTTGGTTTATGCATTCTGAAGGGAGACAACAAGCCTACGGAGCTCACCTCGACTATACCAGAGAGGACGGACAGTTCAAAGGTGAACTGGAGCTGGGAGTCAGTGAGCTGGCAACCGCTGGTGTTGGTGCGGGTGGCATCCGAGCACACCAGAGGAGTTGCCCACTCAAACAAATAGACACACTCCTGCAGCCTCAGCATTTCCGGAGAGCCCTGGATGAAGAAATAAAAAGGTCACTGGTTTGTTCAAAAACCTTGAGTAGGCAAATACAACGCCGTTAAAGGACAGGCGGGCGCCCACTGACCAGATCCAGGCCCCTCTGGCAGGTGAAGACGATGGTCGAGGTGTAGTTCTGTGCAGGGTCAGCCGCGCACTTGGTGGAGCTGTTGTAAGTGATGGACACTTCTCCTGTGGCGCTGTTGATCTCAGGACCGCTGGTAATCCGCCCAATGTCCTTTAAGAGACAGTGTAAGAGAGAAAAAACCCTAGTTTTGTATTTGCCTTTAAACAGGCAAGTATTGCTCAATAGGTTACGGCACTCCAGTCATTTTCCCCGTAACACATGCAGGACTGAGATTTGATACTTCCATCAGTGTTGTTATGTTCTTTACTTCTAAAACCTATTTTTAAATGTGTTTAAATGTTAAATTTCCTCAAAGTTTACTGCTTTATTTCAATGGCATAAAATGTGTATAAACATAAATATTGTTTTTAAACTTGTTAAAAAAAGAAACCGTGTCACAAAAATTCCCTTTGAATACAAAATGCAGCATGAAACATGCATTGGTAATAAATAGCTTGAACTGAAAAGAAGTCTTTACAATGGCTGTGACGTGTGACTTTTCCTTTTTATTTGCAAAGGCATCAAACCAAATGAAAGCGAGGTGAAGGTAAGTGGTCCTTTATCTACCTAGTATTAGAAAATAGTGTGACGGCAAATCTGCATCTGGTTGTGTTAGCCAGTGTCTTACCACTGGTGGTCCATCGTCAGGGTCCTTACAGACGGCGGCGCCAGGGGGGCAGGTTACCCCTGGGATGGGGTTTAGGGGCTGGCAGATATTGATATAGAAGTCTGGAGATTCATCACCTTGGTCCACTGCCTCGTCTTGAAGGGAAACAATTAAGTAGATTGAACTACAAATGTGGACGCTGCGCATTTTTGCTCCTAAATGATGTACATGGATGAAAAGACTTGCTGACGTGATGCATCATGTGTTACGCGTGATCTTTGTTATTTGGAAAATGTATTTAGAACCCATCACTGCATGCAAAGAAAAGTAATCACATGACGTGATGACACCTCGTACCCATTGCTGTGTAGTATCCACCGATGTGGATGAGAGGAGTCAGGTCTATGAGAGCAGAGCCGTTCTGGACCGAACACCTTACCTGAAAATGGAATTTAAAAAAAGAAGCAAATAAATGTCAGTGGTACATCCTTGAAGTGTCACAGTAATAGTTTTTTGGCCTCAGAAAGGAAAACATTAAAGCACAGAATTTCAATCATGTTCTATACAGTGGTTGTTGACATTTTTCTTTAAATATGTTCTTCTTTTGATGGTCTGATTTGTGAAAAGTATTCTGGGACAAGGGTTCATGTACGCAATTCATGCAGCGTCCCATCAAAGCTGCATTCTTGTCTCCTTTGATAATCCTTGGGAAGCTGATTAAATGGTAAATGGTAGATGGACTGTGCTTGTATAGCGCTTTTCTAGTCTTCCTACCACTCAAAGCTCTTCAACGCTACATGACATCATTCACCCATTCACACACTGATGACAGGAGCTGCCACACACGGTGCCACCTGACCACCAGCAACTAACATTCACGCACTGTAGTCGCAGCTACAGGAGCGATGTTGGGTTAAGTGTCTTGCCCAAGGACACATCGACATGGCCTGGGATTGAACCACCGTGCCTCCGATCGGAGGACGACCGTGCTCTCCACTCACCCACAGTCGCCACGTGGTTATATTCCTGTCTACACTCTGAACTCAAATTCAATTAGCTGTGTGAAATGGCAAATGCAGTGCTCATTTACGAAGGAATGCTCCATGTCATTTTTATATTCATTTACTGTCGAGAAAACTACTGAGAGGCGAGTAAGGGGAGCTACATTTGAGTCTGATCTGGATTGAAAAACTGGTGAAAAAAAAAATATATATATAATATATTATACACCTGCTTCGCAGACTACTTCAAGTAGTGATTGTGTTCATCTGACCCATCACACCGACAAAGAAAGAAAACATACTCACTGGCTGTTCGCAGACCAGTGGTGTGTGGAAAGAGAAGAAGTGCGTGCAGGTCTCGGCATTGGAGTCAATGAGAACTGGCTCTGGGGGGGACGAGCCCATGCTTGGTGGCCTGTGCAAACACAATGTAAATATTCAACATGATATCGCATTGCTGCATGATAGATGCATCACCGGTGTTAATGCAAAACATATATTTACACATTATAACCAACTTGACCTGCAGATGAAGTGGATGATGGTGTTGTGTTTGAGTGTGCGGTTTGCTGGGCAGGTACTTCCTCCTTCATACGTCAGCTCCAGAACCTGATTCTTGTAGGAGAGTTCCCTGCTCACCTGACCGCCGCTCACCGCGGTCGCAGCATCCTTAATACACACAGCTGGAACATAATGTGCATGAAGAGATATTTTACAATAACTGCCAAAATACAGTTGTCTTTGCAAAGATCTGCTAATAGTTCACCTTTTTGCCATTTAGATTTTATTTTAATGACAACAATTATTATTAAAGACATCAGCTGATTGTCTAGAACAGTGTATTCGGATGCTGGTCAAACATCTCTATTCTATTCCTGATTCATTCTATTCATTTGCATTGCGGACCTTGGTCGAGGTATGTGTTCCTTCAGTGCCTTCAAATTTAATGTGCAGTAAATGATACAACGCAGGTAAGAGAGCAATCAATGATTTGAGAATCCATGAAATTTCGTGCCTCTTAACGCTCAACTGTGAGGCAAAACAGTGGTGACGCACATCCTCGGTATAACATAAGCCACGCAAACGAGTAAAACTGAACATTAACCAGGGGAGAAGTGAAGAAGTTTGTCGAAAATCAAGCTCACTGTATTTGCGGTTACTTACAAAAATGTGATTTGTTCCATAAAATATCCCATTTCTCAAATCTGCAAGGCTTTTGTAAGAAAATCGACAGCACCTTTTTTACAGAGTGACCTGTAAAAATAATATCCCGTGACTTATTTACTTCTATCACTTCTTTCTAAACTGGGTCTAGTAATTGGGAAGTGCTGGAAAAGGACCAGCGTGTCAATATTAAAAAAATCAAATTGGTGTGTTGACCTAATCTTCTTTTACATATTGTCCACATTTAGAATCCTGCACTCTTTATTCCCATCAAACATCCTGTAGTGACTGAGAAAATGAATTTGGCTGAAAGCTGAATCAACCAGTCAACACCAGTTATATAATGGTACCAGCACAGACTGGTCAAAGGTGGCTCAGATTGCCTACGCACACTGAGGATGCTTGTAAACTAAGTGACCGCGGAGCCTCTGAGTGACTGAAGAGACAATTGTCTGCTGGCACGTCAATAAAGTCCTCACCACGATGCCTTTATTTATATATATATATATATATATATATATATATATTCCACACTTTCTTTTTTTCTTGTGAAAGAGGACTTGGTGCACCTACCGGTTTCTGAGCCGCATCCGGCGTTGGACACGTTCCCACAGATGTTCATGCGGAACATCTTCCTGTGTTCCTGGGGATCGTATACAGTGTAACCTCCTTTCTTCGTCAGGGGGTTGAGATCAAACATATGACCTAAAAGGAGAAGAGGACATTGTTCTGTTTAGATACGTTCATTCAAAGTCTATTAAACACAAATACTGCACCTTACAAAGAGTTTTTTTACGCATACAGAGTTGGTGTTTTTCTTTTAATGTCTGACCTGTCGCGGGATTGGTGACCCTGCAGTTGTCGTGTTGGCTGCTGTTTAGAGGGCAGGCCGCAGCCGTTAACCAAATGAAAGTGTACACGCAGTCCTCAATGGCAGAGATCAGAGTAGGCCGGGAGTCCTGGGTGGTACATAGGAACATAGTCATTTCCCCCATTTACATCTTTACCCAAATTATTACCATTCCCCCGGTGTTCCAAATCAAATAATGAAGCTTTATCATAGGAACTAAAGTTGTTGTTTTTTGCATTTTTGTGTTTCCACTATATAAGAACTGAGAGCATTAGGCAAATAAATCAAATGAGCAGTTAAAGAGAAGCAGTTTTAAATCATTTACTTTTAACAAATGAAGAAACACTGTTTTGACACTTCCGGCATCTCAGTTGAGATCCAACCGATTGAAGCTCTGCTCATCCTTCATTATCCACAAGAGAGAAAATACAGAGCGATTGTGATGGTATTTTTTTTTACGAATTGCATGTAGGTTGCACGTATTACATCGTATTGCAAGTTTCACGTGCCTTTGTGACAAAGATTAATTTATCAGCGACGGTCGGATCTAACGAAGCTATCAGAAAGTAATGTTATTAGTAATGTTATGTTATCCTCGAAGAGCATCCAAGGTGCACGTTTTTTCCTTTCCCCAATACAAGTTAATTTCTTATAAGTGGCACATAGTTTGAAAACTTCTCCTCACCACTTTGTCTCTGTCGCATTTAAAGCGGATGACGCTGCTCCGTTTGCGCCTTCCGTCGGGACACGCCTGGCCGCTGGTGTACTGCAGCTTCAGGACGTTCCCGTCCCACGTGGGGCCAGACTCCACCTGCCCCAAATTCACATAGTCCTCTCCGGCCTTCAAACAGGAGGCTGCACTGGAGGGACACTTCTGTGTACCTGTCGATAGGTGAGCACAGGGTCAACTTTGACTGAAATCAGAAGACATTCAGTCTCAAAACGCTCTCACGGAATGCAAATTGTAACGCAACAAGCCAGAGCTGGACGCTACAAGTACAGGTAATAAAAGACAACCAACGTGCATGCTGACCTCCCTGCTGCACCAGGGACCTGCAGACGTTGATGAAGAATCGGTTCTTTGTGTCCTCTGTAGAGGGCTCCACCTCCCAGTTCCGAGAGTCCATGGCGAGAGGGGAGAGGTCGTACGAGTGTCCCTGATCGTCCCTTAGGACAGAGCACACGTGCAGCGGGTCAACATTCATCGTCTTCTGTGTTTTAATGTTGGTAATTACGCTTCCATTAAAAGATCTGTTTAGATACAAGCATCTTAGAAATGCGTCAAATCTAGTCATTTATTTTATTTTTAGGAGAGCACTTAAAAACATCTTTGTTAGTGCATTTCTTTCTTTCTATTAGATGCATTCTTGAAAAAGTAACAAGAGGATGTAGACATCTGTGCCCTCCAGATAAAAAAAAAAAATATATATATATATATATTTGTGTATTCAGAAATACATAAAAGGAAGATAAAGATAAAGTAGTAGTTATTTTGACATTTAAAAAGAAGCAGCGTGTATGCCTATGACAGAAAGTTCACTTTTAATTAATCAATAAATTACCCATTAAGCAAATTAAGTTAATTTATGAGGTTCACTGATACCAAATAGTTATTGCCTGAAAACTTGGTGGTTACAAATCAAGTAGCGTAACCTGAGGGCTACTTATGTCATATTACTATGATAGTACCTGGTTCACTTAATTGAACTATTTGGTTAAGCTGAAGCCCATTTAAAAAGGACACAGGTTCTATGAATGACCAACACCCTCAAGGGGAGAAGAAAAACTAAAGGAGGCAGGAGGATGACATGTGGGGAGGATGGTTACTTGTAGGAGCAGCTGGTGGTCTTGACGGGGACGCAGGCCAGAGCGGTGGGCCAGCTGAACAGGTACGTGCAGTCTGGAGTCTCCTTGATGAACTCTGGTTTCCCCTTAACGAGGGAATCAACACATGATCGGTTACAACGGCTACAAAGCTGCGATGCATGTCTATGCTTTGAGTTGAGACGCGTTAAATGAGAAAACATACACACACATCAAATTATATAAAAGAAATAACTTAAAGGGACTCCTTTGGTTCTTACCTTTCATAATACATATTTGCACGGGAGAGAATTCAGGCATTTTTGTGCCTTTAATTCCTCCCTCCCCCAGTGCGTAAAAGGCCTTGACTCTTTACACTCGGTACAAAGAAGGACTCTACCGGAACGTGTAATGTAATTTATTTTTTAACAGTCCATTAAAATAACGTCTGTTGGATCGGCTGGTTTTCTGTCTTTCGGGTTGATGTGTGAAACTCACAGGGTGCCTGTCCGGGTGGCAGGAGAAGTAGATCTCTGTGGATCTGTTGTATATCTTATGACAGACTTCTCCATTCGTGTAGTTCAGAATGAGCTGGTCTCCCACATAGCTCAGCACCTGGGATGCCACTCCTGTGCACACACACAATAATAATGACATGCATTGATACATTCAAACACCACGTTAAATATCAAGGATGTTCAAGCTGAGCTCTTTTTATTCGCCATACCTGCGATCTTGTGGGTTTTCCCTTCCACTTGGCAGGAGGAAACCGCATCGGGGGCTGTTTCTTTGTGGGTGCAGATGCCTTTATGGAGTCCCTCGCAGATCGACAGGTGGTAGACATAATTATTGCTGGTTACGGAATGATCTTGGCCCTTCAGAGAGCTCAGGTTGAACTCGTAGCCGCTCTTGGGGTCACGAACCCGGCAGTCATCACCTGGGAGGACACGTTTTGACGGTTGACCATGGAGGCACATACTCTGGTTTCCCCTTGGTCAGCGTTTAATTAATATTAGTGGTCAACATTTAAATGGCAGTTTTTATCACTTACCTTGAGACTTCCTGATGGGGCAGGCCTCGGATGTCCTCCAGATGAAGACATATTCACAACCATCTTTACGATCAAACATGGGGGAGCCCTGCAAAATAAATAAAAATATATATATATATATATATCTTTAGTCCATTGGGTTGTTTTCATAGAATGTCCAAAAAGTTAAGTCAAGAGAAAATGTAACAGACATCCTTTTTTGCACCAAGATTAACATAAATAAACACTAAAATTACCTACAAAAAGCAGTAGACCAATTCTACTATCGACACAAGACCAGAATGCATTTCTGGTTCCTTTCTTTTTTTTTCTTCGATTACTTGGGTGTTACTTATTCAATCCCTCTTAAAAAGCATATACACATTTTACATGTTCGACCCGCGGCTATCTAACACTCACCGGGTTCTCATCGCACAGGAAGATGATGCGCGTCGAGTAGCGGGACGTAGAGCCGCACTGGTCCCCGTTCTGGTACACGATGCTGATGGAGCCGTCCTCCGCCACCCGAGGCCTGGACTGGACGTATCCGAGGTTAGAACTCTTCCCATCAATTATGCCACAGGCACCCAAAGGACCCACTGTAGAGAAGAAAGGCAGGTGATTAACTCTGACTGCATGCAAGAATGGACCTTGTAGTGGACATTGGAATCGGTAGTTTCATGTAGGAACTATTTTCTTTCAAACGGCTCGAAACAAGACTAAGAGACACGGCTGTTGACATGGCAAATGTGTTATGTTCGGCAACTCACCAAACCAGCTAGAACGATAAATAGGAGGCACGGTTTTAATTTTATTATTTAAATATTTTAAACATTTTTATTTTTAAATGGTGTCATTTTTTCAAGCGCTGTAGTTGTGCGGTCGCCTCCGGACTTTTCTCCACTTTATCGTTGGTCTCTGTCTCGGACGCTTTTCAAATGCTTATTACAGAGACAAAGTAGAGCTGATGAAGACATTTTAATGTCCAGTACGTGAGCTGCACATCATAGACCAAATTAATCCGAAATCCAGCCAAAGTCAGTTCAAATCCCTTGTTCACTGTGTGTCTGTGTAAGCGAATAGGCCGGTAAACATCAAGGAGCACACTGACCTGGACATTCGCTCGACGGAGGGAGAGGTTTGCAAACGTTGATGTAAAAGCTTTGTGATTTCACGGCGTCTGTATCTATGGCGATCCAGGGGCTGTCGTCTCTATCCCGCATCAGGTGACTCAGGTCATACTCGTTACCATGGAGATCTGGTGAGATCAGAAAAATACGTTTAGAAAAAAAAAAAAAAGAACGGAAAAGAGCTTTTAGTTTTCGATCACAATGAGTTTCTTTCTGTTTGTCCGTCCGTACCAATGATCTGGCAGTCAACTGGAGCAGGGACGCAGACCAGAGCGGTGGAGAACTCAAAGAAGACGTTGTGGACCACGTGGCTCTGCAGAGAACTCAGGTCCTCTTGCAGCAGTTTTAATGAGCCGGGGTGAGCGGTTGGATCACACACAAAATGAATGGTGAAGGTGTCCCGAGTTGCTGATGCAGAAGGGAAATTTAAAAAGAGGAATAAAGCGCAGAGTTAAGAAAATTAATTTTGTGTGTAAAATGTTAAGAATCACACAGCTGTAAATAAACACAACTGCACAACAGTGAAGTGAACCATTGAATGCTTAAACAAGGACCCTCAGGTAATGTTGCCTCTGCAAACTGTCCTGTATGGTGGACAAAGCTTTCCATAAGTCACTGCGGCTCATTACAAATTGTAAACCTCCGACTCACGAGTTATACTCTCGGGTGGGACGGCCTGTCGTTGGTACACTGGTATCTGTGAGGCAATCTGTGGTCTGCTTCCAAGCCACTTGCCTGTCTACATCATGCGTAAACGTATCGGACAACACTCCTCGCGTTCTCAAGACCTCTTTATGCTCCTTGTCCCAAAGACTGGGTGATTGCACCCTGATTGTGGTGCAGAAAGATTTCAAACTTAAGAACTGATAACACTTACTGCTGTTAAATCTAAAATTAAGGAAATAGAGGGAGGTTCCCAAAAATGTCAATGTTTTTTTGTTTTTTTTATTAACCCAGGTTACGTCACTTTCTCTTAAACTTTTACTTTCTTTTGACTTGTCTTATTATCTTAGATTTTCTGTTTGTAACTATGTGTTTCTATGTTGCTGCCTGTCTTGGCCAGGTCTCCCTTCCCATCTAAAACATTTTTTTTTAAGTATATAAATACCTGTGGGCTCGTCCAGGGTTCCCTTATACGTCAGGGTGAGCAGGCCATCGGTGGAGTACTGGAGGGTCTTCTCCACCCCCACTGGGCTGGACGGATGCCCCTCATCCAGCTCGCAGCCGGCCATGCCCGGTCCACATTCCGCCACGTCGGAGCAGATGTTCACCTACAAGGTGTTGAGGGGGAAGGATTAAACCTCTGTTGAACGCCGTCCTTACATCACAGTACAAAACACTGCATGAAGAAGGTAAACCCTGGAGTAGGCGTGCAAAAGACCAGGAAGCTTTAAAAGAAGCGGTTTGCCTGACGGGACAAGGTTATACAGGTAATTAATGCAGTATTTTTACTTACTTACTTTTTTTAAATTTACTTCAAGGTATAATTCAAGAGTAGACCAATACATCAATTAAGCATTTAAGTAGTTTGTCAAGGAAAAGGCTTTCTCCTTTATATTAGATTTCTTATTGATTAGAGATGGTTTACTATTGTGAAAACATTACATAAACTAAACAAAGAAGTGTAAAAATTATTGGTTGCACCGTTTTTTTCTTTTCTTTTGGTATTAATATGAATAAAATGTAAAAATAACTCAAATTAAAATCCCATACCATTGCGAGTGTGACTAACATGGCGATGTCAGAGTGGTACAAAAAGCTTTGTGCAACTCACACACGTTAAGTAAAATCACACAGGTATATTAAAACAACACATGTGAGATGCCTTATTTATGGTTGGCAAGTGTCAAGACTGTTACCATCTTACCAGGAAGTCTTTGCCGTTGGCATTTGTCTTGTATCCAGTCTTAGAAGCCAAAAGCTGAAGGTTGAATTCAAAGCCAGTGTTGGGATCCACCACGGAACAGTTCTGAGACACAGACACACGTCACTCATATCATTTTCACAGCGTCACATCTTTCCTCAAAGTTGTAATATCATTGCGCGCGGGACGGGAGAACGCCGTAAAGGAGCTCGACTCACATTGTTGGTGGTTGTTGTTGTTTTGATTGCGCAGGCTGCTCTGGTCTCCCACATGAAGTTGGCGGTACAGTTCTGGTACATCAGGAACCTCGGGGCCATGGACTGCACGGCGTGGATCACAAACGGGATTCACATCTCAAGACACACGCCAGGCACGCTAACAAGACGCGCTGCGCTCCATCAAACAAACAGCGGCGACTCACCACACTTCCTCTGGAGCAGACCAGGTGGATGAGCGTGGTGTACGAGAGCTCCTGGCCGTCTGACTCGCACGAAGAGCCGTCTGTGAACGCCATCAGCAGCCGGTCCTGCTCCTCGATGATTGGCCCTCGCTTGGAAATCCCCATGTTACTGACTGATACGACCTCCTTCTGAGAACAGAGCGGAGGAAACGGCTACCAATTCAAACTAATATTGGATTGGTATTTTTGTTTGTTGTTGCAATTGTATATCTTCATGTAAAAAAAAAAGAAAGTCTGTTTGTGGACGTCACAGACCTGATCGGATGTGTACTTCATCTGGCAGACGGACGCATGGCGGTCGCAGCCTGGGACCGGATTGATAGGCCGACATATGTTGATGTAGTACTTCTTAAGGTTCAAGGTGTCTGACAAATCCATGGCCTGCCAGTTGGTAATGGAAGTGGGTCGTGACAAGCTGCAGGCAGAAGAAAAAACGCCTGATTGTGTCGTCCATGTTCATTTTTATCTTGGTTTTAAGTCAATATTTGGACGAGTGTGTCATGTACAACAGCGTATTAGGGCCATTGAAGATTAGAAAGATAATAATTATGTAATCGAGGTGGGTAATACTCTCGGGCAATAAATCACAATTCAAGTGGTACAATTGCAACAAATATATATAATACACACACAAACAAAGTTATGGGGAAGAAAAAAAAATCTCTGAAAATGTTGACTTTTATCAATCAACCACATTGCTAGCTTAGCAGTATTTTCTGCGTTTTTAAAAAATATATTTGTGGGTATATTCTTGGATTTTTTACCAATAGCCCTAATACAGGTATGGGAACGGGTCTGGTGACTGCCACAATAACACCTTGGACTAACACAATATGTCTACATGCAGTACCTGGATAAGTCGTACTGCTCAAGAGATTTGGGATCTGTCACCAAACACTCGTGAGGCCTTTCAGGACATGCGTAGGATGTGTACCAGCGAAAGTTGTAGGTGTAATTGTCCTCCACCTGGATTCAGAAAATTAAGCTTAAAATGACAGGTCACACTGGTGATATGAAATACACCTTGAATACAGGCAATACCGTGAAAACATGAGTCGTAACAATGGTAGCAAATACATTAGCAATAGACAGAGACACAGTTTACCTGGAATTCGGGATATCCTGCTCCAGCTTCTGGGTCACAGAGGAAAGAGATGACAGAGGACCTGAGAGTGTGCCGATCGTTGTTGTACTTGGAGCCGTTGTTGTAGGTGAGCTGGATCAGGCCGTCGTAGTACGACAGGCGGGAGTTCGCCTCCCCGAGACTCCAAGACCTACTGTGGCAGAAAAAAAAGGAGGAGGCGGAAGAAAATATATATATGGGGGTAATCACATCACATGTCTATCAACATAAATTGATCCAATCCCGTTGGTGCAATTAAACAAGGGGTGTGGGGGCGGGGCACTCGGCATTACATTTTACAGTCCTGACTACTAACAAAACCCCCGAGAGCCCATCTTACACCAGCCCCAAGATGGTCGTTAACTATATGGTCTGTGATGAACGTAACGCTTGCTCGTGCTTGAATGGCTTCTCCTTCTTACCTTTTTTCATCGACCTGGCACGTACCGGCCTTTTCAGGACAGCTAGCGGCTTTCACGGGACCACAGACGTTGATGTAGTAGTGGTAGTTGCCGCTGGTCAGGTTGTAGAAGCCACCGTTGGCTTTAGAGAGAGGCGAGAGGTCGAACGAGAACCCTGTGGAGCCGCACATATGTGATCTCAAGATTTGGAACAAAATCATTGTGATATATATATTTTTTTATTTGTCCCGTGAATGTCTAATCGCTCTGGGCAACTGCTCATCCTACTTTGTCAAGCTGTTAGCGGATTAATCTAGAGAGCAAAAATAATAGTAGCAATCTTAGAAAGTGATAAACCATCTTAAAGACAATTACAAGCAGACTTTTTATCCGCTTGTGTGACATATTGATCACTTCAGTTTCAGAGGCCATCACGCGTTTGTGCGTACCAGCCTGAGGGTCTTCCACTTTGCAATCGTCCCCCTGAGTCTTAGCGAGGACGCAGGCGGCGGCGGTGTACCACTCCAGCTCGTACACACATCCGTCAGACGAAACGCTACGAAGTACCGGAGCGCTCTCCAGATTTCCTGCAAGAAGAAGAACAGTGTAGGAGGCAGCAACACAACCACACCAGATATTAATTATATCATCTCCGTGTAGCCTACCGGGTTTGCACTTCAGGGTCAGCACAGTTTGGATCCTCGTCCTTTTATTGATGCAAAAGCTTCCATTGGTATACACCAGTCTGATGTCTTCTCCTATCTTCTGGGGAGATGAAAGGAAGCTGCCCAAGCTGATTGTCACATTATCCTTATCTGAGGGAGAGCGCAGGAAAGCGGGAGAGAGAGAGAGAGAGGGACGATCAATAAACCAAAAGGGCTGCGAGTATCAATGACAATTTTTCAATGTTCTTTACGTCTACTGGACATCCCTCCACCCTCGTGTATGGACTCTTACCCACGGCGCAGATGGAGGCATTCACCGGGCAGCCAACAGCTGCTCCCGTCTGGACGACTTTGTGACAGGCGTTCAGGTAGAAACGAGAGTCTGGATTTGGAGATTTAGCGTCGACAACCTCCCAGTTTCCACCGACATCCGACCCTGATGCAGCAGAGACACACGGGAAGGTGAAGAATTCCGCGACACATGCTTGGTCACAAAAGACAGAAGGGAAAAGGTGCTTCATTGGGTGGACGTGGCCAACACCAGTCGCCTCCTCACCAGGGTATCTTGTGAGGGGTGAAAGGTCGTAGTGTTTGTTGTCGTCTCTGACCCGACACAGTAGATCCTCCTTCTCCTTGACGCAGGCGAACGCCGTCTCCCAGTCAAAGTAATACGTGCAGTCTGTCTCCCCTGCAAAGACTGGATTCCCTCGCCCGCCGTCGGCTGCCAAAAGTAATGCACACCGTGGTTTGAGGATGACTTGACCAGATATGACCAGACTAGATCGTAGAGCTTTTACATTTCGGAAGTGTGGACATTTTTGACATAAGAAAAATACACTATATGTATTGCTAATGGTGTAAAATGTGGACACGGAGAAAACTAGAAGTTGTAACTGCATCGCTTCTACAGCTCAGAACGTAGAATGTTGAAAGAAAAAAAAAAAAATGAAAAATGAAATTTAATTATCTTAATTTCATCATGCATCATGTGCAGAATAAATTGTATGTACATAATATATAATAGAACAAAACCAAAAATAGATAAATAAACAACTCAAGAAAGCAATGTACCAATAAGTTAACACTGTAATTCTACATACCACCAAAAGGTGGTGCCAAATCATTACGAGTAGCATTGGACTATTATGACGTTTTAAAAATACAGTAGCGCTAATGTCAGCAAAATGTCAGAATAAATGTCCAAGCAAATAATCTTCTTAGGGCACGTTTGTGTCTTACATGCACTCTTGTTGCATTCAAAGTTGATTATGGTCATTCTCAGGAAGCCGGAGGAGCATCTGCTCCCATCTGGGTAGATCAGGGTCAGATCTCCATCTGAATAACTACAGATAAAAACAGAGTTATGGCGTTGTTCAAGTGTGAAGTGATCTGTTCTGCATTTGAGTGTCAATCTGTTATATGTTTGTCTTTGTCGGTGGAGATATAGAATATACATACATGCATAGCTCTCCCACACACACACACACACACACACATTACCGTAATGTCTGGTTCTGAAATCTTCCTGCCACCTTCTTCACGTCTCCGGACTTCTTGACCTGACAGGACGACACAAGCTGGTGTTCGCCACATTCCTCAGTGGGGATGTTTCCACAGACGTTCAGGTAGTAGACGTAGCTCTCATCCCCGTCAGTGGGCCCGGAGTGTGCGTGGTACGGCTGGTCTGTAGCTAGACACAAACAATCAATTTGAAATCAGCTGCTTCTGGATTTAAACATAAGAAGCCACATGCAGGAAGGAGGGGAAATAAATCTATTTCATTTTCAAACAATAAACATAAACAAGAAGGTCAGTACGGTTGACTCATACTGGTACTTCCTCCTTCTGAATGGGATAAAAACAGCATCACTGTGAGCCAATCTTTCTGGGTTATATATATATATATATGGTTATGTTTCAGAAAATAAACACAAATAACCCTAAAAATCCCACAAATATACCTTCACATAAAATCAAATCCAGAACAGTATTATGAGGCATTGATGTTTGGTTTTTTCAGTCAATGCATTACCGCAAAACTAACTAAAATATGTCATGATATAGGGAATAATACTTCAACTTTATTCTTTAAGCTTTTCCATTTATCAGTTATTTCTCAGACAGATGGTCTCTATTTGTTGTTTGAAGAGGAAACTTGTGTATCAGCGCCTTCTAGGGCTGTCAACGAATATTCTATATTCAAATAGTTGTTCAGCGGAACACTCTGCTTAGCGAATGGGCGCGCGCCTGTACTGACTATATTGCATGAATAAAATAGACCAGATAGGCGTCAACAGCTTCATGCACTAGTTTGAATATTTGCCGTTTTGTGCCAATGAAAAGTGTTTACAGCACAGCTCAGTCGGAGCGTTCAATGTCGCTACTGTGAAACCTTCAGTTTCAATCACCGAATGAAGCCTGACATATGTGGGAAAAGAATCACAACCTTTTGCTTGCACAAAACTCTTGATCAGCATTTGTTTATTGTTGCCGTTCATTTAAACCGCTTTGTGCAGAGAGAGAGAGAGAGAGAGAGAGTGCGTGCGAGCGAGCGAGAGATCTGCGGTCTTGGCCGTTAGTTAATTTACTTATTTTTGTGCAGGTAATATGTTGTTAAATCGGTTTAAACTTAAATAAATTACCTATACAAGTAGTTCTGTCTCGTTGTATTAATTTGTCCTGTTATTGACGCTAACCAGATATTCGAATATCTGGTTGCGCAGGAGAACCGCGGTGGTTGGCGGCCGAGGGGACAAAGAGAGAAAACAAGCCACCTACAGCGACTTGTTATTGACGTGTCTAAAGCCTAGTTTATGCTTTTCAAAAGCGACGCAGACGCAAGCCCCCCTTGCGTGTCCCTTGCGTCGCTTTTCACACCTCCTTGCGTCCTTGCGTGTGTCGAGACATTTTTCTAGGCTTGCGTCAAAAGCGACGCAAGCCTCCCACAGCGCACCAGGCTGCGATTGGTCCGCTAACTACACCTTTTGCGGAGTCTCACATTTCCGCTTTCATAGCCCGATACCGCCATTATTAAAACAAAGAGAATTAAGAACTTTTGTCGGAAGAAATGCGCAAATATGACCGCTTATACAAGTCATTGGCGTCATTTTAGGTGTATAGTAGAACTTGTTTTGTTAAAAGTTCAAACAAAAAAGGCATTTTTTTGGAAGCCTTGTGCTAAACGACTAAAAGAAGGTCAATCAAAACAACCTTTAGTGGGTTGTATGTCAGTTCACTTACAGCTCAAGGTGAGGGGTGTTAGGTCTATGGCGATGTCGTTCTCTTTGCTGGTCATTTTGCAGCTGTGGCTCTCCAGGTAGTCCCTGTGACATGCGTACTCCGTCACCCACTCCACCTCGTAGCGACAGTTCGACCCCGCTGTCATCTTAGGAGTGCTGCCCTGGGAAACACGAGGACACTTTTAGTAGAGCAGCAGCTCCAGAGTTGGACCGACACCAGCATCACTAAATCGCTGGCGTGTGAGTCCGTGTACCGATCCAAGGTCACTTTGTCGGAGCTAACGACTAAAGTTCACAGAATGGAGGTCCCATTATGATGGTTTGAAGCTTCAAATCAGTTGACTACTATGCGAAGATAAATTATAACTTTAGCAAATGTACGATCTGATAAAATGTTGTTTTGGGTGAGAAGCTTTGATAAATACAGCCGACTAATATGGTTGAGACATTGGATGGAATACTGTGTTGTAGGGTATGTGTATGGGTATGGGATCGGTACTCGGTATCCACAAGAACAGAGGTGTTCGGATTGGTATCAGGAAGAAAAAATGGTTCTCGGAATTAGTTTTAAAAATACAACGGAAAAGTGTGAGCAACGGATTATAACAGAACAAGTCTGCCATGTGCGTACTGCATCGTGAGTGTGTGTAACCTACTGAATGTCTGCTGGAGGGACAGATGAAAGTGAGGGTGACGGCAGGTTGGTGTCCATTGCAGATATCAGGAGATTGTGAATCAGCAGCGACTTCATAGTGCAACTTCAGTCTTCGGAGGAGAGACGAGACAAGAAACAACATTAGGCGCTCATTCAATTACAATAAAAGAAATAAAATAGAAATATTGGCTTTTCATGAGCCTTTAATTAAATTCATCAAGAAGATACCGGTCGTTGGATGACAGCTCCAGCTGTGTGGTAGGAGAGCCCATGTTGTAAGAGCCATGACTGGTGACCAGACAGGCCGCAGACCCCTCGGGACACGATTTGTCTGGTCCGTCTGAGGCAGGAGGAGGCCGGGTATGAGAAGATGGGCGGACTGTGATTCTATAGCGCTTTTAAAGTTCTTCCAAACACTCAAAGTACTACAATGATCACATGTTGTTCACAGTGATGACAGGAAAAAACACAAAGGGCCACCTGCCCATCAGTACACCGTAGTCACAGCTATGGGAGTAATTTTTGGGGGGTTACACGTCTTTCTCAAGGACATATATCACTACGCAGACTGCCGATCCTCTGATTAAAGGATTGATTGAACAGCTCTTCTCTTCACAGTTAGTTTCTGTGCCACCTTTATTAAGAATAAAAGGCCTATTTCAAATCTAAATCAAGAGTAACGTGCAGAAAGACACACTTTCTTCCCCTCACTCTATGGGGACTCTTTCTTTCTACAAAGTCACGTATTCATCCACCAGCCTCTCCGCCCTCCCTCGGGTACTGACTTAGACTGCGGCAGATGTTGATGTAGAAGTCGATGCGGTCGTCACCGTCGTCCACCAGATAGCCATCGTTCACCTTGATCAGGGGGCTGAGGTCGTGCTTCTTCCAGTCCGAGTCAAAGACATAGCAGGGGACCTGAGGGTTGATGGTGGACGTTGTTGACCGATCAAAATCAGAACACACTCTTGTGAAAATACATATGAAGTGCCACATGAGAGCTTTGCATAGATGTTAAAACGACATCACGGTTACGTCCACAATGTTATCTATCTGTTATCTATTGTTAAAAGTCAGTCACTATGATAAAGCTGTGCATGCAATGCCTGTAGTGACTGAAGAGTAAAACCCCCCTTTCACAGCAGTGTGGGGGATGGGGGGTCTTTTCATTTCTATTTAAACCCGTCAGACTCATCGTTCCTCGCACATCACACCTCGACGTCAAAGCCTTCCTGTCGGCCACTCAGATGTTCCACCACGTACCTCTTTGGGGTGGCTTGAATTTGTCTTTCTTGCAGGGCGGTGTAGGGTCCTCCACTCAAAGTAATGCCCACACTGGGACACGGCGACGAAATTCCGGGGTCCCCTGCAGCACACCAACACAGCAGCATGAGTAATACGGACTGGTTTCAATGCGGATGATGGCGACTAACAGCCGTTAAACACATGGGCGACAAGAGGAAAGTTTTGGCGTGAGAGAGGATTCCGTTTAAATGAAGGAGAACATTGCATTCTGCGGTTTGTGTTGCTGGAGTAGTTGACGGTTCAATGCTTGCTCAAGGGCAACACTTGTGAAGAGAGAAGAGCGTTTTTCATCTTTGCTGCTCATCCACATTGAACAGCTTCTGTTCTGGGGTCGAACCGGCAACTCATCCTTTTACAGGGCCGCAGGTCAACGTCTTGCTAGTTCTAAACAAAACTAGTTATTTGGATTTGAGCTACCTGAATCAGCTTAGCATTGCCCAAACTAAAGGGATAAAGGTTAGATTTTAACCCCCCCTGCAGTGTTTGACCGTAGTATCGGTCAGTCCCCACGCAGTTTGTTCTTGTGATGTGATACACATTTAGGCCAAAAGGTTTTACTCTTTTCCGCTGATCTCAAAGGTTGGTTATGAACAACTGCAGTAACAATGGCACCGAGGAAAACCGTGGGCAAATAAACATATCAACATTACTACTTAATCAACATTGTTACTAATGTTTAATTATCAATTACCAATCAAATGAATTGGACCCAAAATGTGTGCATTGCTACAATAAAGCCAAAGCTATAAATAATGCCACATCCAGTGAAACACTACCCAGCCCAATTCAAGAATTATATATATTTTATAAATACTTCCAAACACAAGGTTTTTAATTGTTGGTAGCAAAAAATGAATACCATCAAAGTGTATTGAAAATCACTAAATTCATAAGCTGTCCACTGCTGAGGCTGATTATTATCACAGATAACGGATGACTTCTTCTTTTCAGCATTAGATGACATAAAATGTAAAATGTTTCATAATAAGCCACTTTCATTCCTCCACTTCACAGTTTGTGATCAGGAAATGTACCGTAGTCGGCCTTCTTTCGCTGCTGCTGCTGCTCTGTGGTGCTCGAGGCAGGAAGCGCCGCGCGTTGATGTCAACCCACCTCTCCGCCCCCCCTGAAGCCGCAGACACCGACTCTGCAGTCACAGCTGAATGTCCCACGTGATTTCCCCTCACAGTTTATCTTCCTTTCGTGGCACCAGACTTTGCTTCTGGTATATTTTTATAAATGTAATTTTAGCTTTTTGTGATTTTTTTTATTTTCAGCTTGATAAAATGTGAATGTGGTCACATGGATTTGAATAACTGGCTCAGTCGGACTGAAATCGAATTATCCGTTTCATGTAAACACCTTTGTCCGACTATGTGCGATCCGACTCCGATCCGACTAACACCCCTGGATAACTCCATCCGATCCAGTTGATAGTTGGACTATTGCGGCATGTAACGGTGAATCGGATGAGGAACTGGACTTTGTGTCTTTGCGCATGCTTGAGATCCCGACGGCGTCTTCTCTTCGTTATCAAATCAGCCAATAGCGCCATTCGCATTCGCTGTGCTCCTATTAACATCATGCAAACATAGTAGAGGGATGTAGCTTCACCTTGCTCACCGTTCGCCATCTTTCTCGTAATGTTGTTGTTGGTAGTTGTTGGTAGTGGTGAAGAGGTCAAGCGGAAATGGCTGTATCACAACTAGTTGTAATGAAAACAGCGCCACCTATCGTATCGGATATGACGTGCTTTCAGCCAATGATTCGATTTATTCACTGCCATGTATATTGGGATAATAGCACCTCCCCCAGAAAGAGAGCATAGTCCGACTAAGCAAAGATTCCATCATTATACCATCATGTAAACACACTGAGCGAACTCAAAACAGCAAAAATGTCTATTGATGAATCCTGACTACTGATCCTGATGTCTGATCAGGTCAATTTGGATTATGCTGATCATCCTGTAACAAACTAAGACATAGACCCACTGATAAATCTCTCCCACTAGTCTGTCCTCTCAAAGTTCCACATGTCCAAACTTGTATTTTATATTAATGCATACGGAGCCAGTCTACAAGTTTTGATTATGTCATAACATCAACGTTTTAATGCGAGAGCTTAAACCACTTGGATTCCAATATAAAGTTCATCAAGTGTATCCAAATACCACCATCAACCGTATTTCATTAATAATAGGAAGAGAGAAAGAGTTCAGGGCTATGCTTAAGGGCATTCGGCAGTGATACTGAGCGGCTCTCTCTCCCCGTTCAGATTTTGAACTTGGTTCACGTTGTGTACCGGAAACCTCCTGGCCATTGAGCCTGTAATCTTAACCCCTCCTTCAGCGAGCCACGGAGTAGCATAGGATGATCCCTTCCAGAGGAGGGGGGGGGGTCTTACCAGGGTTTTCCCACACTGGAAGCTGATGCTGGTCTGAACGTTGTTGCTGCTCCCGACACATTTCTCCGTGCTGTTGTAGTCGAGCACGGTGCCGGACAGCGTCTGCAGGGACAGCTCACCTGCACATTCAGGGATGAGACAAACAGAAATCGTTTACATTCCCATGCAACAACTGTAGCTTTATTTCTTCTTTACCCCCCCCTTCTCTTTTTGTCGCATGCTTTGTCGCCCACAGACAACGACGCAACGTAGATCTACGCAGACACGCACTGCACTTAACTGTCGTTGCTCTTATATTTGTTATTTGAAAGCGCGCCGGCGCACGTTCTCAGACTGTGTGTTTTCTTGTGTGTTACTGTAGCAGTCGGTCTTGAGGAATAATGGCTTAAGCCACTGACCCGTTCTGACCCACACATGACTTCTGTAGCATGACATGATGACTGCTTCCACTACGGGGTCAGTATTTATCATCTGAATAGGAACCGGACAGCGGTGGGAAACGCTCCGCATGTGAATGAATTCGCTTCCAGCCGGCCGGCCCGACAAAACTACTGCAACGTCTATCAATGCATCGCCCAGAACTTTAAATCCGCAATGAAGAGTCGGTTTTCCTCCTTCCAGCAGGTCATTTGGATTCAGAGTTATGTTAGTTAGTTATGTTTCAATCAACGTTCTTAACTGTTTTTAAATCTCATTTCTTTATGTTTGGCTGTTTTTATGTGAAGCACTTTGAATGGCCTTGTTGTTTAAATGTGCTATACAAATAAAATTGCCTTGCCATTCAGTTTCCCATAAAAGTGCATCCGTCCGTGTCTAACCGATGACCTCTTTCTAGTCCTCGTGTGTGTGTTTCACGGCCTCTGTTGAATTTAATTTGTTACCAAGAAATAGCAACGCTCTCGTGTGCTCAATAAACGGCAGTGGACCGTCTCAGGGGAAACTTCCAGGAGCATTCGAAGTGCTTTGACGTGCGTGTGTGTTCAGTGCTCCCGCTGATACGGCTGGACAGCCATATCAAACGGACCAGGAAGCAACGTGACTGAACAAACACCGACAAACAGTGTGGGAGCGCCGCTGCAAAAGTTAGTTATGATCAGAACCATTGTGGGAAAAGTACAATGTGTCACTGGAACCTCTCTCACCATTCCGAGAAGGAAGTTAAAACCATTACTTGAGGATACTGAAGTTAGAAATTTAAATTATTGCAAAAATCTGTACCGGGTTTTCAGACACCAATTAACCTAAAAAAGAAAAGAAAAATGTTATTGGAGTTCCAGTGTGTAATAGTTAATTGATTCACTCTTTGGACTTTTGGTTAGACAAAACATCATGGACTTTGAGACGGACTATTTTCTGATAACGGAAAAATCACTTGACCTAAATTAGAAATGGAGATAGTGGCCTCAACCAAATAATTGTTAGTGTAACCCGAACTGCAATTCTTTTAATAATGACGTTGTGGGAACAAATGATCTATTTTAAAATGATCTGAATCTAAAAGGACTACATCTGCTCTTCGTTAAAGAGCAAATAAACTTTAACAGCTCCTTTTAAATCAGATACAGGTGAGGTAAGGGGGGCATTCGCTACTCCAAAGAAATGACAAATGTCAAAGTGGAAGAATGGACAATGTGCGACAGCTTGTTTGAACCGAAAGCAAACAGAACAGCGAGCGAGCGAGCGAGCGAGAGAGAGAGCTGCTGAGTGAGCGAGCGTGACATTCTTGTCTATTTGAGCTCAGGACCGTGGATGATGTGTTCTCTTGTCATGTGATAAGTCAGCTGGCGTGATTCAACTGCGACCCATCTGAACACACTGCTCCTTGTTTGCCATTCTGTCACTTTCCTGTGATGTTCCTCTTGAAACGCAGCTAAGAATCCAAGTGAGGAATAAAATGAGTCGGGCAACATCGACAGTCTGCGGCCTCAGAAAACAGATTTGTCCCCGGAGGAAGGACAAGTCGTTGCTGTGGGTCTGTGAAGTAACGCTCGCCTGGGAAAAGGTCACAGGCAGAGATCGAAGACCGTGACGCAACCGGAATTAAGGAACTGGCCCCGAATAATTACAGCCATCCAGTGTCAAAACACAAGTAATCTTTAAGTGGGTGTTTGGTATCAAGAGCAGCTGAAGCGTCATGTGACATTAGCATATGGATTTACAGAGGGTCAACTGTGAGATCGCGGCACCACTTCTGCTAAACTAAAGCCCAAAAGTTTCAGATTTAAAACCGCGTGAGATTCAGGGACAAGGTGCTGTGTCAGATTTTCAATCATTTAAATTTTAAGTGACACAAATAATCGGATCGGATAGAATATCAGAATTAAGGAGGCATCCCATCCCATCCCATAAACCTGATAATGTAATCTGACGTGGTTTTGGTTAAAAAGTTATTTAACATCAACGGTTATTTGCAAGTAAAGAATTGCTTTTATGGGAGGGGTGGCGTGTAGATCTGCATCCACACGGAGGGTAAAGCTGCCACGGCCTTAAAGTTTAATCAATTCATGCCAGCGTGATTAAATAAAGATCACTGTTTACCAAACGACCGGGTGGGACGAAGCAAATCACACTCCCTTAGTGCAACACAACGTTAACACAAACACCACAATTTAACCACCATTTCAACAGGAACAAGTACAAGAGAAATTGAAATAATAATAATAATTAGAAAACGTGGCTCCTTATATAATCATTTATCAAATTTACCATTTCCACTACTACTACTACTACTACCAGCCCAGAAGTTTAAAAACGGCTTGATGACATTTGCTGCTTTTGCTGCATCTGCTTTATTCCAATCGTTCGGATGAATCTAGTTTCTGTAAATAACTCACAGATCAGCATCTGCCGGTCTGGGGACCGAGATGCAGCGCTTGCTGACACACAGCAGCAGACTCAGCCTCACCTGCACCGATATCAGATCCGCCAACGGGCCGATAAAGCTCTAAAGGACTGATCAATAAAGCATCACTTCCCTCAAGAAAACCTTTCTGCTGGTCTGTCTGCAGCAGGAATTTGATCTGTGCGCATTTTATGACTCGAGGAAACCAACATCGGTGACCCCTTCTATTTTCAGACGTACAGTATACACGTACCGACAATGTGCCCATTGGCCAATGGCAGATAATAACAGCAAATGTTCCTTACTCTCTGCCATTTTATAGATAAACACTTATGGATTAGTTAAGAAATAATCAGCAATCATCAAGAGTACATCCATCACAGACAGTAGATGGGCAGACGATTAAAAAATGAAGTATACCGGATATATTGAAGGTTGTTGTAATGGAAAAAAACATTTTTTAATGATTATAATTATAGATATTTTTCTGTAAGCATTTGAAATAATACCCTCATGTTTTGGTCGAGACAGCTATGAAAAACACAAATAATATTCCCCACTGATTTAAAAACACAAATTGTTAGAAGGAGAGCACACATTGTGTCCCAAGCAGTCCGAAAAATATAGTTTACTTTTTCTTATTTCTACCAAGCAAGATGATTCAAAGCTAATTTCACGCTAACAGACTGTGACCACAACAACTGAGACGTAGATTGGTTTCTGCCGTGTCACTAAAGAGCCGTGACATGTTTGGTTGTCATAAGACGGGAGGAGACGCGTCAGCGTGAAGCACCAGCTCACATGCTCCTTTGTTCCTCATAAACATCTTTATAAAGCAGCATAAGGGGCCGTGACAGGCAAGGTCCAACAAACTCAACACACATCCTGCTCAACAACAATGCAGCATCCACAGGTTATTATTTTACGCTCTTCTATCGCTCAGCTGAAGACAAAAGGCTCAAAAAGGCAAAAGATCTTTGCTTTGAGGGTCCACAGGAAGAATATTGCAAACCTCAAGCCTTTGTGTCGTCACGAAGGTTCCTGCAGCGTGCAGCTTCTACTTAAGGAGAAGCATGCTGGCTCGCATACAGCGGAAAAAAAAAGGCACGTGGCATATCAAAAGTATTCTACCTCACATAATTCACTCTGACAAGGAGCTTGATGAAAGGACTCCCACGATACCACCAAAGAGAGACGGCTCGTGGTCTTTACTCACCCACAGACCGGTTGTCTCCGGCGGTGAGGTTCTGGGCGCAGACGGCGGTGCCGGGGCCACAGGCGGTTGCCGGTGAAGACTCGCAGAGCTTTAGCGTGTAGCTCACCTTATTATCCTTGTCAAAAGCCTCCCATTTATAACTGCAACACAGGGAATACAAGAAGAGAGGTTAAGAGAGGAATTGCTGATTTACAGAGCTGTCCATTTGAAATAACAATACATATTTCTGTCTTGTAATGTGAATTCTCTTTAAAAGATTATTCTATGCACAAAACGTATGGATGAGAAACGATTTCCATTATTTTTTTTGTGTAACCAAAACAAGGAAATGAAATGCAGTCAGCCTGACGTCACAGGCCGCTGGTCATCATTTCAGCTTTATTGCTGTGTCAATATTTGAACAGCAGCCGCCTGAACAGAGCTCCAGTTGAAGGAGCACAACAGGCAACAGGCTGCAGGCCCTCATTTGAACTGTGACACCACTAAGGCCGCACAACAAAGTGAATTGTGTTCTTCCGGCTCCAGAGAGGAGAAACCGTCCCGTCACGGTCCGGCTCGCTCGTGCCATTTAACGTCGCTAACATTTAGCGTTAGCTTTGTCAAATGTGACGTTAGCGGTCAGCAGCATTTCACCAGGATAACAACACGTGATATTGTAACTGAGATGAATATAAGACCCATTTAACAGGAGCCAGTCATATGTGTTGTCAAATAAGCAAATAAACCACCGACTGACGTATTGCTGAACTGAACTTAGTGCGAGTATCTGCGCGGCCACGTAGCAGCCCGACGCGCTGTAACGTTGCGCGTAACGTGTTTAGCGGCGGCGGTGTTGTTTCGGTCGGAGGTGTGACTGTTAGCTAAAAACCACAACGTTACCTGCACAGGTCCCGGTACCACGGGCTGCTGCCGTCCTCCTCCGCTCCGGACCGGACCGACAGATCACCCAGACACACCGCTAACCAAAGAACCAGCTTCAGGGGCGACAAACGACTAGATTCACACTGAAATAACATGTTTACAGCGGTGGGTAGCAGTCTGTGGAGCCTAAGACGACATGATACGGCAGTCTATCTGCCGTGGAGCAAATCAGCAGGAAGTGAATCCAGCACGTGACACGCAATCACGTGACTCTCACGATGCCAAGCGGTGCCGCCTTCACGGTCTGTGGGGAAACTTCTTCCCCACAGACCAAGTTGTGGCGCGCAAAGTAACTTGTTAATTGTAAATTAATTACGCAGAGCGATAATAGTTCAGTACAAATCCTCGTAGAAAGTCCTGCGTGGCTCTGGAGGGGAGCTATCACGTGTAGAGATATACTGATTATATCTTCAGAGTCTCAATAACAAACCACCTCAGCACTAGTGACTAAATACAATTAATGCTTTTTTATGATGAACATAATTTTCTGTGAGCTGATTAATCGACCAGATGCTAAATGCCGAATGTTCGGATTTAACTATATGTGGGACTACCTTGACACCTAAAACCCCTAATTGACCGGCCCGCGACTAATACACCATTTAAAGATAAAACATTAGAAACAGAAGATATGTCTACCGTCTTTATGGCACTTGAAGGCATCACTATTGATAACAAGAACAGGCCGTCATAGGAAGAGCTATGCTGCTTTTCCAGTTACGCGTCTGCTAGAGTATGTCCAGTAACACCTGCGTGCAGCATTCCATACCATACCATTATTTATCCATAACCATCTATACAACATCTTTATTCAGTAATAATTTCATTAATTTGTCAGTTTGTCAGTTTGATTCAGCTAAGATAAGATTCAGCTGCCATTGCCATAACCACACCATTTACACGGAGCCCTCACGTGTCACACTGCGCCCTCTAGTGCCCGAGAAAGAACAGCAATAAAAACTCACTCATTGCTTGCTTATTCAAGGACAGTTGTCCAAACAATGCTGGATATTTAACAATCCTCAACTACTAGAAAAGCTTGCGTGATTTTAATTTTAAACACACGTATTTATCGTTGTTAACTTATATATATAAAAAACATATTAAAACGTCTCCTCGTGTTTAGGGTGTTTTGTTTGGAGCCTTTATATAATAGAGGGGGAGAGGAAAAAGACGGGTAAAAAAGTTCTCAAACTAAAGTCAAGGAGAGTGTATTTACATGATGGGCATACTACAGACCCTAGACAACCACAATTCCCCCCCTGTCAACCCATTTTTGAGCCTTGATCGGATATGGCTTTTGCCACCCACGGGTCTCTCACAACAGGAGCGTGAGAACACATTTGTATCATTGCGATGGCAAACTGATAAAAACTAAAAACCGAGCATTCAAAGAGATTCAAAGATTTTTATTGTCATTTACACACCGTTTACACCCTGTGTATTGAAATTCTTGTGCTTGCCTTTCCGGAAAGCCTACCAATTTAAAATTAAAATTAAAATAAGAATACAATATTTACATAAATGTACATGAAATAAAAAATACAAAAATGAGGTGAGGATAAGGCAGAAATGAGGTGACGAGGAAAAGTGCAAAACTGAGCAGGTTTTAAAAGAAAAAACTTAAATGAAATGAAATGTGTGGACTATAAATTAACAGTACAGTAACAGTAAGTGAATCCTAACAAGCTAAAGTGCAGACCAGTTGTGAATTAGGTTATAGAGTCCTCTCAGCTGTTGATGGCTCTAATGGCAGTGGGGGAAAAATAGTTTTTCAGTCTGGTGGTCCTGCATTTGACACTTCTGTACCTCCTGCCTGAGGGTAGAAGCGTGAACAGACCATGTTGGGGGCGGGTGGGGTCTTTGAGAATGGAGGCAGCTCTCCTGTGAACCCTGCGGTGGTAGATGCTCTGCAGAGAGGGCAGTGGGGTCTTGATGATCTGTTCTGCTGTCCTCACCACTCTCTGCAGGCGTTTGCGGTCCATGGTGGATGTGCTGCCGTACCAGGTGTCCAGGTGAGGTCCTCACCTGGACACCCAACACAACTGGTCAAGAAGGCTCAACAGCGGCTGTACGCCAAATAGGTTCTGCCGAAACTCAACGTTCCCTCTTTTGAGTTTGTGTCATTGTGACATGCTGAATCAGATTTGTCTAAACTGTGGAAAACTCATATCATTCGATCGTTGGATTCTGATCACTTCAACTAAAACCTCATTGGGAAGCCTCGTTGTTAATGTCCAGCGTGAACAAAGACATAGATTAAGACCTGGGGACTGACTTTTGAAATCCTGACAATTGTGAATCCATCCTGAAGCCTGCACCCAAACAATAGACGCACAAAATCAGAGAGAAACAGCCAAAAGGCCGAATGGCGAACACCAATCAGGAGCTCCTAATTAGGGAGAAGTAATCCCACCTGTGCAGAAAGCCTCGCGGGGGTCCTGAAAACATGCAGCGGATGCATCGGTGTTCACAGCTCCTGTCCTGGTTGCAGTTGTGTGGCATCATGTGGTTCCTGACGTTCGTCTGCACGTTGACAGGTACGAGCTGAAGCCCTGAAACCGCACGTTGCTCAGAACAAAGATGGTTATTCTGTTTCTCTCCATGCAGCTGTTGGTGGTGCCCCCACACAACTAACCCAGGGGGCCACCGGGAACCTTACAGGTTTGTGTTGGCTTGACTATTTTATTTATTTTTAACTCTTGACCATTCAAAAGATTCAGGAGGAATTCGTAGCAAGGGTGTGGATCGCCTCGTGTGAACACGGCAAAATGAATCTCCACAAAAGGTCAAATCTCCCTTTTTTTTTTTCAGTCGCCGTCGTCCCGCAGAATGTGACTAATCCCACAGCAGGTCGGTGCTTGTCGGTTGTGTTCAGACTCTTGTGTATAAAAACAACGTAATAAAGTTCTACATTTCTGCAGATCCAGTGACGTCAATGCTCAAGCCGAATGGAACCAGTGCAGAGACCTTAGAAGGTACATGTGGGATTTGTTAAATGTTTTTCTTATTTTTCAGGAATGTACAGTCACATTTTTTTTTTTTAAATAGACTTTCGCGGAAACAGACTTGTCGGAGAGGGAGATATTCTGATTTCGGTAAGCACTTTTTAAAAAGGCTTTCATGAAGCGAAACACCTCTTCGTCTTATTTCTAATCCCATCTTTTAAACCTTGTTACATTCCAGGAGGACAGGAATGCCGTGAGCAACCTGTGGCTTGACGCCATCATGCCGTACGCCATCAGCAGTGAGCTGGGTGGGTTTTTGCTTTTGATCCTTCTGTCCGACAACTAGAGTGCACATCACAACTATTCTTTTCTCTCCGACAGCTAATCGAGAGTCTCACATCCTCGATGCCTTTAAGATGATCTCGGATGCCTCGTGCATCCGCTTTGAACCGCACACTACACAGTTGAATTACATCGAGCTCTCTGAGGGCCGCGGGTGAGAAGAGAGAGTGTGTGTGTGTGTGTGTGTGTGTGTATATATTTCAGTGATAGTTTGCCACGTAGATGTATGACTCTACCAAAGGCCTTTTTTATTTATGCGTGAATGGGCTCTTGTTTGCCTCTGTAGCTGTGCCTCCTTCGTCGGTTGTCAAGGAGGAGCTCAGCCGGTGTACATGACCGACGAATGCAGCACGGGCAACCTTTGCCATGAGATCCTTCATGCCCTGGGACTGCATCACGAACACACCCGCAGGGACCGCGACCAGTACGTCTCTGTGCAGTGGGAGAACATCGCGCCAGGTGAACACTTTAGCCACGTGGTCTTTTTGTGAAACGCTCCCTGGTACCGAGCTGTGCTTCCTGCAGCGGCAACGTTCTGCGTGGTTTGTGGTTTTAAGGCTATGAGGCAACACGAAAAAAGGTAGTCAATGAACACAAGTGTAAGTTTTTTTTGTTTTGTTTTTTATATTTGGCCGACTCTACTGAATTTTCCAAGCAGGCAAAATGAATCATTCCTTTCTGAATTTTAAAGGGAAAAAGGGGAACTTCAAGATTGTATCTGGAGAGACGCTGAACCTGCCGTACGACCTTGAATCCATAATGCACTACGGAAAGTAAGTACCTGTCATTCGTTTGCATTAAAACAAATGACCTAGAGAGATTCTTGGTAACTATTTGAATGTCTAAACCTTTTTTTTCCCGCAGGAATTATTTCAGTAAAGATGGATCTCCAACCATGTTGCCCAAGCAGAGTGCACCGCTTCTCGGTCAGAGAAAACGTCTCAGCCAGCTGGATATAAAGCGACTGAACCTACTCTACCACTGTGGTAACTAACTTGATTACTAAACAAATGTTACCTTACGAGTCTGTTCAGTGGTCCTTGACAAAATAGAGTTTCAGGATTCACTGAGTGTCCCTGTTGGTAAACGACTGACTTGTTTTTCAATACATTAATACAGAATTGCTTTCTTGCCAAACAATTGGTCGTTATATAGCGGCGCTGTTGTGAAATTCTCGAGCTTTAAATGTATATTTTTTTTTTCTTCCAGATGACCGGACTCAAGAGCAGTGAGCGGAAATGACCATGACCTGTATTTGATTCAATAAAATTATTTAAATCCTGTTCGTTTGAGTCTAAAATAATGTACTTTGTCCCCAGAGCATCCAATTGGTCAGTATTCCCAATTAAAATAAAGGGCTATTACCGGACATTTGCGCGGCTGACGTCTGTAAACTTGACATGTGTGCGTGCGCACTTTTTTTTTTTTTAATTTTTTTTTTTTTAAAAGACTTCAGTTTTCACGTTATTGGGTCTGAAAGCGGCTGGACGCTGCCCCATTGCATTGTGGTATGTTTTATATATATAATTTTTGTTGCAATACATTTTGAATATCAAACTTTAAATTAGTGTTTGATACATCTGGTTTTACAATGAATCATTCTAGGATGTTTGCTGAAATTGGATAGCCATACCGACAATGTTCCACCAGCCGCCACAGTCTGTCTGATCCTCCTGTTTGCTAGTGTCAGGTTTAAGGAGCTCCTTGTATTTACCACCTAAATGCTTTAATAAGCACACCGCTGACCTGTTACATTTTGGCACATTCGCGGAATGCCAAATCCTCTACTGGCGGTTCCTGTTTGTAATGTACCCATGGGTGTAAAGACGACTCACTGGATTCATTTTCATGCTTTACTCTATGAGTCCCGTCTGGGAGCACAAGTCGCTTTTGACTGACATCCCTGTGTTTAATATCCAAGTGTTTGGATTTGATTACGCCAAGCTTTAAAATGCAGTATCAACTTTGAATAACAAACCTTGCTATCCTGTAAAATGATGCATATTTTGGATGTCACATTTGAGCTCTGTCAGTTTCTCATCAAGGCAGATTTGTACATGATTCATCCTGGTTCTGTAGGCCAGCACAAGCTGCCACAATCAAACTCTTGACTTCCTTTTAGAAGGTGGGAAGCTTTAAAATGCGGTATCAACTTTGAATAACAAACCTTGCTATCATGTAAAATGATATATTCTGGATGTCACATTTGCGCTTCGTCAACCAGTTAAACTCTCGGAGTTGGTTCGTTCGTTAATCCAAAACACGATTGAACTTGCAAAAAACAGGCAAAATTTCAGACTGCAGCGCCCCCTAAAGATCAAATATTCTGCAAAAATCAATGTATGCTCAGGGACTCAATGTGAACACATCCTAGAGATTTGGTGATGACCAGCTAATTGCTTTTGAATTTGTAGGTCTTTCACTTGTAGGCCACACCCCCTACAACCTTCATTGGTCCATAACTTCGAAACCCAATGAGATATTAACAAGCTTCTTACATAACTTCTGATGGCAGTGACCCAATGATGATTTCCTAAAATTTTCGTGATAATCGGACCTAGCATCTGGGAGGAGTTCTCAAAAACGTGTTTTTCACAACACAACTTGGAGCATATCCAAGAGCACCTGTGTGCAAAATTTCAAGTCAATCGGTGAAACTGGGCAAAAATTTCCCCAGAGGGCGCTAGAGAGCCATTTTTTATCCCCCAAATGCGCAACGCCAAGAATATCAAAATGTTTTGCACTTCTGATTCGCACGCCCAAAATTCAAAAGTTTTTGAGTATGATAAAGGCCTCAAAAGTGGGATTAAAGTGCAGTCAGCTCAGACCCTAATAATGGTCAAGTAAAAGGATGTATGTGAATTAATCAATTAATAGGGGTTTGTTGTGGTCTAAGTGGGTCTTCCCTTTTCTCTACTTCCCTTTGTCCCCTTTCTATTTGGTTTTCTTTCCTTTTTCTCAGAGGTGTCATTGCAATGGGCCACACCAAAACTATTGGGATTGAGTCATTATGTTTTTTTATGTTATTTCTTTTTTTTTTCTGACCTGCATTAACCCATGTCGACCCAATGATGGCTGTGTGTATCAAAAGGCACTGCAATTTAGGGTTTAATACAGCAACTACCAATCCGGATAAAATACAGGGAATATTCCATGTTCATATGAATTTAGTGATTTGTGATCTGGATTGAAGACTGACCACTGGGTGACACTGTGGCGCATACTGTTTGTTTCTCTCTCAGCTCAGAGTTTTGTCTGATAAGCTCCCCCAGCTGGCGTTGAACTTCAGACCACTCGCCCTCTCTCTGCTTGAACTGCTGCTGAAGGGCCTCCATCTGCTGCCTGAGGGCCTGCACACGCACGCGCACACACACACACACACACACACACACACACACACACACACACACACACACACACACACACACACACACACACACACACACACAGTTGACTCTGGTTGTGACTCAGGTGCTGTGGGAGTATGTTTGTAAATGTTTGCACAGATTTATGCCTTTTGGAACTTTGGAAGTTATAACAAAAATCTTTTTTCAGGAACAGTGGCGGCTGGTGTAAAATGTTGTAAGTAAGGCAATCATCAATTTCAGCGAACATCCCAGATTGATTTATAGCAAAACAATTCACAGGATGTCAAAAACACGTCATTACTTTGCAGTACAATATTTTATATTATTAAACACGTAAATATAACTTCAACAATCTTATTTTGTCACCCTTACAGGCAATTCAGTATAATATGAAATATATATGAAGCATCAGTGTGATCTAATATGTACTATATATATATATATATATATATATATATATATATATATAAATATCAGTCGTCTCATTTGTTTGAATGGCAATTAAGTCTGTGCTCTTTACTTGTTCCAGAGTGTCATCCGCCTTTCGATACCAGCCTTGACACAAACGTTCAAGTTTGGGGCAAAACCAATGTTGCCCCAGGCATTGGAGTCTAGTTAAGGAAGCTGATTGGCTAAATGTATTGGCTGTATGTCAATCTTGAGCTTGCCCCTAGCACAGATAGAATGTGCGTATGACTGCCGGGTCTTGCAAGAAATGCATATATTTTGGGCAGGTATCATCTTTTAAAACTTTTTTTGGGTGGCCATCCGGCACTGATCAGGAAACGGCTTGAAGCTGATTTGGTTTGAGTTCCCTAAACTACATAATCACACCATTTGTGGTTGGTTCTTGTGCAACGCCTGTCTTCTCTACTGATAACCTCATAATAAAATTGCTCAAACTATATATATATATAACTAAATAACCTTTTTTTCTGGATAATCCCAGCAGCACCCTGCAGCAATCTGCTTCACCTGCACTACATCATCTACATCAATCTATGGACGGTTTCACATTTCCTTTATCCTTGTATTAGAGGGCTAACATTTTAGTGCTGCTACCAAAGAGCTCATTGTCTGCCTAATAGAAATGACCATTTCCATTAAGTGGGGGGTGAACTGCTTTATTGTTTCTGGTTGAGAAATGCTTCGGCTCTTTGTGGAGCAACACTGCAACAAAACAGGCTGACAAATACATACAGATTATGCAGGTGTTTTGAAATATTTTTATTGGAACAGACGTTGGTCTATTTGGCTGTTGAGACACAGACGCTGCTCTCATGCTGCTGGTTTTAGTTGCTCAATTCAGATTTATTGCTCTGATTTGATTAATTACTTTTTTGGGGCCATTAACAGAGTTTGTCTTTTCGGAAAAACGTTGCATTACAAAATAACCAGATGGGTATTTGACTTTGGACCACATGGATTTTATGTTAAGAAAGAAAGATCTGAATCATCCAAAAAATATGTTTTGCTTGTATGTTGGCTAAGACACTTTCTTTCCAACCAAAAGCTGACCTGAACTTCCCCATTTTCCAGTTTGTGTGGAAATTCCCTCAATGCGTGTGTTCTTTTTGATATGTCTCTGCCTTCAGGTTTCCTTCTTGGTTTCGATCTTCAACATAATCTCAGCTCCTGGACATAAAGAAAAATACAAAGGTTACGAGGCAAAATAATATAAATTGCCTGAATCCTTTCAGGTGACCTATGCCTGAAACCAACAGTTATGTAAAGAAACAATTAAGAAAACACGTTTATTTGTGGAGCTGAACTTAAAGGTTCACTTTCCACCTATAATGATCATGGAAAACTTATTTTTATTTATAGAACTAAACCACCATAACATTTTTTAAGACAAAACAATACATGGTAAAGTAAGGATTGGGCGGATTTTCATTTAAATAAATGTTTATTGAGGTGCCATCTATCACCATCTATTTCTAACACGAAATGGCTTTGCAGGGTTGCAAGTGGTCGTCTGTGGTGACCAATGTAGGTATTGGTGCACTTCATTACTACGCGTTCTGTTTACCTACAAAAAAAAGAAAGCATCCATTGGTTTACACTGATGAAGACTCTGGTCCTGGTTCTGGATCTCCGGGAACATCCATCTGTCTTCCGCCTTGCTGCCATAATCAGCCTCCTGTCGATAAATATGGGAATCCTGGAGGCTGAGGCAGGGAGGAGGGGATGGGAGCTTGGGAAACCGGTGACACTGGGATGCTGGGTTATTTTCATCCTCCCTGCCGCTGCCATCAGCACCAGTAGTGCTTCTCGCATTGGAATGTGTGGGAAATGTGCTGCATTTCGTAGGTGTTTGGACTTGACTGACAGAGGCAAAATGCCGCTGTTGTCGTAGCAGTTTGCTTTTGACCTTTACCCCAGTTTGATCTTGTGCTGCTTCCTGGCCTCCACCGGAAAGGATGAGAGTGTGTTATTGTTTCATCACAGCGTGCGGATGGACTTTCCACAGCGGAGCTTGAGACCTTCTCCGTGGGGTCGTCAGTGATCTTAAAACTAACAGTAACTTCCTGATTTCTCAGGGCCCTAACGGAAACCTTGTTGTCCCTCATATTGGGGGGGGGGTGTTAAAATGATGCTCTAAGTTTGATTCATACGCAGCGCCGGGGCGTTGGGGTGTCCAGATGTGTGTGTTGTTCCGCTGCCGGGATGGTTCCCATAGATCCTCCGAGGTGGCACCGCAAGAGCTCTCGGGCATTTTTTTATGAGGTGCTGCAAATTCGAACTGACCTTTGACCTCTTCCGGATCAACAATCAGTCCTGTGGTTTCCCCCGTGTTTTCCATGTCTCGGCGCCGCACCCCTTTTCTCCCTGAAAAGATCGCAATGCGGGTGATTGATCAATTGTGCATTTCACGGTTGTCCTCTTTTCCTTTGGACTTTCTCCCTTGCGATTGGCTGTCTTTGCCTGTTGTGGCAGGAATACGAGGGATCTGTTTTAGTTGCATGGGTGGAGTGTCTCTTTGGGGCACGGGGGGGGGGTTGGAGTAAGTATGTCCTCGGCAGCAGAGCTGAACGGCTGTTTGGGTTCTTACACCGGCTGCCCTCAGCTCTCTGGCGAAAGCCTTGTGCGGCCCCGAACTCTCGGCCGCGGTCAGGCTGAGAGGTAAAAGACCGGAAGGTTCGAAGCTGCGATGCTTCGTCTTTAAGTAGCTCGCACGAGGCAGAGGAGCGCCGCTCCGTGCAGGAGGTTGACCTCCGGCCGGGCTGTTGGCGGCTCAGGGAAGCGCTCGCGTGGGCCTCCTGCTGGTCAGTGCTCTTGAGAGCATTTCTCTCCATCCTGGAATGGAATGGAATGGATTTTTTTTGTTAGTATACTGTATGTTAATCTGTCCCAGTCAATGAATTAAAGGAACAGTAATACAAGTTTATTCTGTTGCATCATTCGAGGATTGGTGATTTAATCCATTTTGTCCATGTGGAAGGTGAGCTGTAACCTGCCACTTGTCCGACAGTTCTTCAGGTCAGTGCTGTGCACACAATTTATTGAATATACTTTCTCAGAGACATCACACGCTTTCAGCTGCTCCTCCACACTCTACCTAAAGATCAGACAGAAAAAAAGTATATTTAAAATAACAGTAAAGAAATACTAAATGATATCAACGCAGAGATAAGGGAACAAAGCCGTGGCAAAGTGTTCAATATATATTGCAGGTTTACGAGTAACAGATCCAAAGACCTGCAGAGCTGAAGGGTCCTTGTCTGAGTACCTTTCTGCTGGGTTTGCGTGGGGGCCTGACTGGATCCGAGTCTCCGTCTCTTCTTTGGCCTCTGTGGTGGTGCGGGAGTGTCTCTGGTCTGGCGTCTCCTCTTTGGGTCTAAGCCCATCTGAGAGGGAGACAAGTGAAGCACAGTGCTGACAGATCAGAAAGAAGGGCATCTGCAGGATGGGAGGAAAGCTTCATCACGTGCACCCCTTTCAAGCCAAAGGTATGCGATTGGAGGAGTGCCAAACATGACAGCCTGCTGTGAGATAGTACGGATAACTGTGAGAACATTTTTGGAGTGAGTTACAGCAGAAGGTAGAACTTAATGGCAGGGTTACTGGAGTCACAAGTGGGCTCGACAATCTGAGAGCAGCAGTCAGACTGTCTGACAGTCCGACTCTTGTGCCGTGAAGCTGCACGTCTTAGAGTCAAACACTAAAAATAAGGAAATAAAAGAGCCACGATCACGTTCCTCTAGGTTAACGACTATTGTAACTAAATAATGTACCTATTAAATATTACATTTGGAATAAAAATACAAGGAACGTTTATTCTGTGTTTATTTTGGCCATCCCTGTGTAAGAAAACCTCTCACTTTAGAGCTGCAGGGTCTGACAGTTTGCCCAAAGTAGTCCGGGAATCTCACCAGATGATTAATAAAAAAATGAATTGAAATAGACAATATTCTTTGTTTATGGTCATAGGATGCATCCTTTTGAATTACAAATGTCTCATAACCAGTTAAAAGCCACTACAGTGTGAAATCAACATCTATTTCAAACGGTTGAGAATACTTCAGTCTCCTCATCAGTGTCCAGTTTATTTGCCACATTGAAGAAGAAGAAGAAGAAGAAGAAGAAGAAGAAGAAGAACATCTGCAGACGCCAATCGATGCAGCAATATCAACATAATCATTTTGCCATTTTAGTTTATGAGCTAACTTAAACCTGAGAACACAAAAACTAGAGGCACAACATACAGGTTTTATTGAATAAGAAGGACTGAATTACTAAACTTGTTAAAATGTTCACTTTTTTCCATTTCTGTGCCATGAGGTAAACAAGGTACACGTCGTTGACATGTTGCTCTACATTGAACGAGGTGTTACTGTACTTATATTTTCCTTTAAAGAAAGCATCGATATCTGCCATGATGAGAAGAAACTCGTCTGCCACTGTCATGTCTGTGAGTGTGTGTGTGTTCCCAGATAGAACATGAGGGATATGGTGATATGATTCAACATGAAATTGCCTTACTGTCACAAAACTAATCCTCCAGAGGTGTCGCTGTTATTAAGCCCTGGGCGACCAACCTTCATCTCCTGCAGTGTTTGCTGAGTAACTCACAATTAAGTCGTTGATGTAGGAATGTTCAGGCCCGGCGGGCAAATTGATGGAACACTAGTAATGAAAAAATGAACAGCAAGACGTTAAGAACATTTTTCCTTTGGACACAATTTGGGCAAAATGATAATATCTCACTGTTCGTTTGGTTTTCTTCGTCGAACTTGATTGTTTGCTGCATACATTCATTGCAAAGGTCCTACTTCTCCAGCTGTAACCGTAAGCTCACTGCCTGGATCCCATTTGAAATTAAGAGTTTAAAGATTTGGTGCAGCAGAATCTAATTTAATCTAAGTCTAGAGTCCAAACGAAACTGCTGTTTAAATACAATCACACCTCCCTCTGAGCTCCTTTTAAAGTTGGCCGAAAACTATTCAGTTAAACCCTGATTTAATCGCGGTGCAACCCGAGACCAGACTGATTCAATCACAACTCCAGTTGCTCAGTGTGAAGTTTAAGTACTAGATCAAAGCCAAACATGATATAAATCCTCCAAAGTAAAATCATTCGATGACATGTATTTAATTATGTTACAGGTACTAAAACTGCTGATGGCTTTGATGTGTCTGCAGTCTCATGGAAGGGGGGGGGGGGGGGGGCTTTAAATCATGATTTAGGAGGGAGCTCACGTCTGTAAAACCTGTTTGACTGCAACGAGCCGCCTGAACATGCAGCTGAAGCGGAGAAGGAGTTTGAAGCGTGAAAAGTTGGAAGGCAGAGTTGCGTGTGAGGCCGAGGGCTACCCCCCCCCCCTCTTCCTCCTCCTCTTCCTCCTCCTCCTCCTCCTCCCTCAGGACGCAACATTCCATGCAACCTCGCTTACTTTTCCTTACATAGTGGGCCATACACTTAACATCCATCATCAATTCCCAGGGATCCACATCTGCGTACTCTAAGGGGAATCTTTCTCAGAATATCTCTTTTTTTTTTAAAGCTTCTGCTGAGGAGACGTGCGACTTGTGACATGTGAGAAGCAGTAAATCTATTCAGTAGCATCTGGGATTTGCTGAACCCTCAGAGTAGAAATTCTCAGATTGTGCCCCCCCCCAAAAAAGCAGTATGCTTTGCAGGAACATGAAATCCTTTTTCTCACACCAGGGATTGGCCGTCTGTGTGAAGTCAGCTGGAGGGCTCCAGCATTGGCTTGTTGGTGCTTGACCGTGCAGGCGAGCTGTGATTGGGCTTCTGCACACAGATGAAATCTCCCCACGCTGGTACTTTGTTTGATGTTTAACCAGTTTCCTGTTAAGGAAAACTGGGTTGCGTTTATCTGTGTTTTCATTTCCAGAGGCTGCTCGGGGTTTGAGAGGTTAACCAGGTTTCGGTTAACTCCACTCGTCCTGTAGTTGAGAAGCAGCCGGTGACTCATCTCCTCGGGCCACAGGAAGGGCGGAGCTACCAGCAACAGGGACAAGTTGCAGGGCAAACTCAAAATCAGAGAAGCTGTCAAGCATTCCCTCTGCATACTAGGAGGATCACTTCCAGACCTGATGCTAAAGGACTTTGGGCACCAGAAACACACAAAGAGGGAGTTTAAACTTACAGGTGGAAAAACCTGTTTGGTGGGGGGGGTTTTTGTTAGGGCGTGGGTTTGCCTGGTGAGACTTTATGTGTGAAAGGTTTTTCCTTGTCGGTTTATTTGAAAAGCACTTTGCTCACTCTGGCTCGTGAGTAATATTTAATCATTCATCTCTTTCACCGCTCAAATGGAAAGCACCAATGGATCGGGTTACCAGCTCATCGAGGACTGCGAGGCCACGAACAGGACACTGTACAAGTTCTACGCGGCCGTCATGATTGTGATTTTCATCCTGGCTCTGCCTCTCAACGCGTCTGTCCTGCACCTCTTCATATTCAAGCTGAAATTCTGGAAATCCAACACCAACAACGTCTTCCTGTTCAACCTGGTGCTGGCAGACGTGCTTCTGCTCTTCTGTTTGCCCATAAAGGCATACAACTTCATCCGGGGGGAGAGGCGAAGCGCCAACGACACGGTGTGCAAAGCCATGCTCTTCATGCTGTTCCTGAACCGCGGGGCGAGCATCGCCTTCCTGACGGTGACCTCCATCGACCGCTATTTCAACGTCGTGCACCCCGGCCGCAAGAACCTGCTGAGAGCTCTCAAGAAATCTCCACACATCTCTATCTTCATCTGGCTGCTCCTGCTGCCTCTCACCATCCCCACCATGCTGAAGAACTTTGACTGCTGCAACAGCCACAGCCCGCAGCCCGACGACACTTTGGTGAAGGTGAGGTTTTTCCAATCCGAAGGAGCAACACGTTCGATATTTGTGACCTCGCCTGACCCCGTCTTCAGTTTGTCGTCGGGGGAAGTCAGCCGGCATCGGCGCGAAGAAAAAGAGTTACAAAGCGCGAAGCCTTTTGGTTTCACTATGAAAATATCTTGTTTGGGTGCGTTTGACGTCATGTGTTCATAACCCCATGACATGCAGCAAAGCAGTACTGAGTTTTGGAGTAATTCTGACTTATTCACATTCCAGCACTGACGTGCGGTAAAATCGAATTCCTGTGACTGAGGGGCCGAATGAATCCTAACAGAGCAATAAAGATTGTGTTATCGCATCCGAAAGCTACACTTAGATAGAGACAGTTTCCAGAGCTATTTTTGCTCTCACACACCACACAGCTCTTCTAAATGTCGAGCCTGGAGTGTGTAAGGCTGCACAATATTGTGTGTCTTCCCCCACTGTGACAGTTGCAGTTCATCATTCATTTATATTTTTATTATATTATATCGATTCGGCACATTAGAGAAAGAAATAGTAATAATAATATACATACAGTGTAAAACTGTACCCGTATTACGACCAGGACACGTGACCCAGCTGCCCGTGCAGTTTGCAGTTTGCGCTGAACTTTTGTTTTAATTCATTCCTGTTACGCAATTCTCTCTCCACATCTCTCACTATCTCTAACTGAGGTAGAAGCTGGCTCGACGCAGATTGCCAGGAGATTGGAGTTTCCTGTACTTGCCGATGGAATCGATTAAGCGTTGTGGTTCATTTAGGGTCACATGAGCAAAAAAAAAAAACTTGTCGATGACGTAAATGACCAATAATCCTCTTTTTCTGGTTTCTAAGGACGTGGTGGACAGCATGCGAGAAGTGGTCTTCTTTTCCCAGATCGTCATCCCCTTCGTCATCCTGGTCTACTGCACGGTGCACATTGTCAACCGGCTCAGGAAGAAGACGGTGGGGGATCGGACCAAGCTGAGGAGGGCCGTCTTCCTGGTGACCTCCGTCATGGTGGTGTTCTCGCTCTGCTTCCTCCCGTGCACCGTGGCCAGGATGGTTCTGCTGATCGCCCGGGTAGAAGAGTGGCCTGAGGCCTGGCAGGATAAAGCTGCGGTGGCCTTCGACGGCCTCATGGTCCTGTCCTACGTGGACTGTCTGCTGGACCCGCTGGTCTACTGCTTCTGCAGCACCAAGTTTAAAGGTCTTTACCTCTCCAATTATTTCCCGTTCTTACTGAAAGACGGTCACGTGCTGCCGGACAGCTCGACGGGAAACACGTTGCCACCTCCGCGCAATAATGTCATTTGAAATAGGGGACCCAAAAGAAATCTACCAGAGACTGAGCATCCCCAAAATGTGTTTTTAAGATTATAGACTATGAAGACAAAACCCAGTTGTTATTTAAGATTATATTTTCTGTCAATATCTAAAAGTAATAATGTCAATGTGTTTCTTTTTTCTTTTGAATAAATGGTTGGTAAGTCAAGTATATATATAATTATGTTGGTACGTATGTAAATAGGAAGTTCTGGTTCTTACAAAGTTGGTCACATATTTCATGGCGTAGTTTTACTGACTCAATATGTCAAATCGTCTCCTGATGGTCTCGGATATATTCATGGTGGTGGATTTTATTTAGTGAGACTTTTCTGAATAGGACGGCCCGTCGGGCAAAAGTATGCACATCTGTTTTTCCTTTCTGCTTGGGCAGAAAGTAGTTATGGTCATAAACAATCCCTTTTTAACTGCGTGGGGGAAAAACTAACATGAATCCTATTTGCTTTACGCAACCTTCATCTCAGCCTCGGCGTTAAGCAAATATTGGTGTTTAATGCCGTTGGTTAAGGCTTAACAAATATAACCGTGTCGCCCGTAAGTGTTGAAATCGTGTGAAATACAATTTTTAAAACCACAGTGGAAATTTTCCAAACCAAGGGAACAGAAGCGGGGACGTGCACAGTGAAACGTGTGCATGTAACTCCAAAATAGATGCATATATTAACATGGTCAGTCCCCTGGAATACTGGACCCTTAACACGCACACAGGAAGTGCATTGTTAAAGATCTGTGTAATTGTGCTGTACGTATTGTGTACGTACGGGAGGGTTTTCTTAATACCAATACCAAATCTTTCCTTTCCATATAAACTAAATCATGAATAATGACAGAAAAAAAACTTTACTCAGCTGTATTCTCATGAATCCTTTCTGATCATGCGTTAGTCATCGGGGAGGTTTGGCTCACGTTGATGATGTCATAAACAGTAACAGTACTGTGCGTCTGTTTACTGTCTGGCTATAAATACACTCATTTGAGACTCACAGGTGTTGAAGACGCTTCGTTGCGTATCATAAAAGCCGTCACGTTTTATTTGTCACGGCACTGCCTGACAAGGTGGAACGCTACAACAATACGATGCGTCATTTGCAAACCGGGATGTTGAACAATTTCCTCGCCAGGTTGAATCATCGCGTTATGTTGAAACACAACTGAGGAGGAACCCCCAGTAGCCGATGCCTACTGGACTGAGAGGCACAAACGAGCAAGGAAACGCACCGATACACAATCCACTCCTCTCTGCAAGTCTCCCGTCCGTGTGTGAAAGTGCATGAAAACCCTGCAAATATTGACAGGGTAAAGCGAGTGGTTTGAAGTCCCCTATAGTATGACCTTAAACAAGATGTCAGTCAAACAAGCCTTTGACGCCCAGCAGGGGTTTTTGTATACTTTTAGCATCTAGTTGTTTAGTTTAGACCTGCGCGGGGCTGCACGTTCAATATGTATCATTCGTTTGACTGAAACTCAACTGTTCATTCAATACATTGCTGTCATTCTTGTGTATAATTTTGTATATGCATCAATTAAGTGGGTCTGCAAAGAGGCCCGACTATGTATGTACGTGATCTTTAAAAGTAGGCTCCGATTTCTCTCACCTATTGAGTCTTCTACAAAGTGAGAAACCCAGAGTTCAACTAGGACACATTCAGATGTTTTAATGGGTCAATCACATGTCTTATGCTGAGGACATACAACAGACAAAAATCTGTTTATACGTTACTGTTGAAGAAATAAGTCAATATAGCTCAGACAAAAAACAGGAGTCGGGATCATCCTAATGGATCCAACTAAACCCATGTGAAAAGCAGCGACGGCTCCCTCAGCTGCTCAGAAGCCAGAATGGGGAAAGTGTGAAAATGGCGCTGGAGAGCGCGTTTTCAAGCGGATAAGTGGAGATTGTGGCCGAGACTCTGATGTTTCGTACACGTTCGTATAGTTGTCCGTGTTCGCAGTTGGTTCTGCTCGGTTTGAAACCCAAATGGGAGATGCTCGAATGCAAATCTTTCACTGATTTTAGGATGTATCACCCCCATGACATGATTCAATGTAATAAAAGAATTTATTGATTTGATAAACATCTTCTGCCTTCTTCTGGTTATTATAAATTACATTTAAATAATGTGTTCCTGATGTCTTGTAAAACAAATGTTTTATTATAATATAAATATCATACCCCATCTTCATTTAAATCGGGGAATGTTCACAATTTAGGTCACAGAAATGAAGAAAAAGATTTTAGAACTCCCTTTTTTTACCGCTTTAATGTATTCATTTCTTTATCTTCATTATGTAGAAACTCGGTCAAATTGTATTACCCAACTGCGAAACTCTGCCGTCACACAAACAATCCCATGAATCAATATGCACTTAAGCAATCTTAAAAACTTCCGTCATGATAGTGAGAGTGGGGGTGGTTCTGATGAATCGCTTTCTGAAGCCGAAACAAGGGTCAGACTTCAGTCTCATTTGTGGACATTTTTGGGTTCAAAGGCCGTCGAAGGAGTAAATGTTGCATTTCAGTGACCATTTCAACAAGGTGGCTTCAGTAATCTGATCCTTCTTGTTTATATGAATTTCCGGCCAATTGCTTTTTTGGTGTGTGTGACCAGTGACGTTGGTTCCCTGCTGGCAGTAGCTGGTTCTTACCCTGAAGAGGGACATGTGGAGACAGATCCTCAGGCCGTGGAGCAGGGGACACTGGAAAAACGGGAAGCTGTCGGGACGCACAAAGAGGAAGGAGGGGGGGTGGGGGGGGAAGTAACGCAACCTTTCGGATGGGTGTGATAGTATAAGTTGGGATTGTTGTGGGGAAAAAAACGCATTTGAATTTTTAAAGAATTCTCAGAAGAGCATCCAAGTTTCCCTGCTGTCACAATCTTTGTAAAAAGCAGGCAACCACCCAACCCATCGTATAATTACTGTTACACACATATCTGATTCCTAAAAGGACAGTTCGGGTGTCGTCACGCACTCAGTTTGTAGAAACACACAGTACCAGAGTACCAGCACGGGACCAAAGCAATGTGCCGCTGTAGCAAAACCCCTTTATGTACCAAATCCAAATCATTATACATTCATGGCTTTACTGCATCTAGAATATTTGGACGGATCTATTGCCATCAGACAGCTTTCTGACAAGAAGGAAGCTGTTATATCCATCGATTGAAACACCAAATTCACACATTACAATAACGAATAATTAAATTGAGGCCAGTCAGTCCACTGTTCTGTGGGGTAACACGACTGTTTTCATCAAAGTAGTCTTGTTGCTATAAGGACAGCGTCTGAAAAGTGTGTTTTGCTGCTTCCCTCTCCACAGCAGAACATTGCTTAACTTCCTCGTCGGTTGTCCCGTCTGAGGATGGTGCCTTCAAAACACCCAAACTGTCCCGCTGAACTGCACTCCTGGTGTTCGGTGTTGGCTATGTGGTGCACAGAGGATTTATCTGAGCTTGTTCTGGAAACAGGCCGATAAAACACCTCATATATAAATGGCAATGAGTGATCTATATATTCGGCATTAATGGTACTTAATGCAATAATACGGGAAAGACAAACAAACAAGACCACTTTAAAATGTATTTTGGGAGGATGTATACATATATGTTAAAATAAAACTAGAGAACGTCTCAAGACTCTTTAGCATATGGCTAGAAACTGTTTATTTGGACCTTGCTTTCATTCCAACAGATTTCCAGTAAAGCTTGGAAGGTCGCTGGACATCGAGTTGTCTAAAACATATCAGTCCCGATCATTTACACAACAGAAGCACGCGGGCAGCCATTAGGTAGGTACCTGGTCGGGGATCAGTGCAGGGCGCAAGCCGATCCACCCCGACAGGGCAAAGGCCGGAAACACCTCGACTTTAACAACGGTGGAAGATAAACAGAGTGTGACAGAAAAGCAGATTCAACGTGAAATAAGAAGTTAAACACCAAAGAGATAGCGCACGTGTGTGTGTGTGTGTGTGTGTATGTGTGAGACTGTGTTTGCGGGTGTGAGTGGGAGGAAGCTGAAACCACTGGCACAGACAATATTTCTCATGAAAATGTTACTAATTGTAACATATGTGACGTGCGTCTTGCAGAGCACCAGAGCACCGGTGCTCTAAGTGCAAACAAAGTAAACAAGCGAGCGTGTACGTGCTGTAGCCATCATGACCGGTGCTGTTTAACACAACATACTTAATAATGTTAGGATGTCCGTGTTTTAACAAAACTTGTCAGTGGATTACTACACAGTATAAAGTACGAAGAGATATGTGGCACTTGTAGCTGGCGTGCACAACACACAATACATCAGTTGGGTCTGCATGGTTCTCCAGTCAACATGGAGTCATCTCTCGATATCGCCGTGTTGTGCAAGCACACGCTTTGCACACGTTAGAGTGTAGTATTGTGAGCAGCATAGAAAGCATATTTCATCCTACAAAGCGGTGGATTTAGACCACCAGCCCCGGACCACCCTGGAATCCCATAACTTCTCCCACAACCTGCTCCCCGGATGATAAAGCACACAACCGGGGGAAGTGCGAGCGCCGCCACCTGCTGCGTTGAACATAATGGCCTCGCGGTGAGCAATGTCGGACCCCGGCGCGAAAGCAGAGCAAACAGACTTGGCTACATGGTCCAAATTGGCAGCGACAAGCAGACAAACAAGCGATTAATGAATGTTACCGGCTGTTATTGGTTATTGCTGCTGCAGGGGGAACAACCTGCATTTAGTAAAACGCTTGAGTGGCTGAATGTTAAGTTGAGAGTAAATGACATGGAGCCTGTGGAGCATCAATAAACCAGAGCAACATGTTGGGTGGTAACGGGACCGGTATCACTGTGTAACACGGGGGTTCAACATCGGTGGTTTTCACATCTCATCCATAGCAAATTGTAAATTGGCTTATTTGAGGAAATTGCACTTTCTTGTTTCTTGTTCTTCTGAGTTTGTGTCCCTATGGTTGAATGCACTCATTGTAAGTCGCTTTGGATAAAAGCGTCAGCTAAATGACATGTAATGTAATGTAATTTTATCCTTTTATTTTCGCTTTCTTCACAAAGACACAAAGCTACCTGAACATAGAGGCATTTTAAGGAAACAATTGTCAGATGGCGTTGTGCGCGACAAGCATCCCTTGACCACAAGGGTTTTTTCTCTCTTAGCGTTTACTTATCGACATTTGCATCTCTTAGTACTTCCTTTCGCTGCTTTACTTTTCACCATGCAGAGATGTTTGTTATCTTAAAACTTGATGATGATTGTTTTATATATATTTTTTCCGTATTTTCCTTTGAAGCAGTTACAGGATCCGCTCAACTGGAATCCTCCTGTCTTTAAGGAGGAACACCGATCAGCATTTCTGTGGGAGAAACTCAATGTTGCAACGGCTATTAAAGGATGCACTGTTGTGGTCGACGGTGCAATATACCAAATGTCTTAATGCCCTCGGTCTGTCGGTCTGGACACGTGTCCCGTAGCAGAAGTTATGCAACAATGCTCTTATGTGCTCTTTTACATAATGTCTGGGACAGTGCGTGACAAGTCGTAACACGCTGTCACGCTAGTGGACTTTGGGTTTCTGCAGACTTACTTTTTTTGGAAGGGGGGTTTGCAATCATTACAGTGTGTAGATTTTCTGGTCCTTGCTTTTCATTGTTTGACAGTTAAAGGAGCAGCTGATGAGTAGGGCGAGATCATATTTGACTAAGGCCAGGGGGTGTCAAATAATTGAAGCCAATTTATGAATTTAAGGGCTATGGAAATTATAGTTGCTTGACAGAGGGATGAGAGGGCGTTTTACGACAAGCTACAGAACAGAACCACACCTGAGTTGGGACATCACTTCACACTGGTTTGCAAATCTTCTTCTCCTTTGCACCGGCGCTGAAAACCGTCAACCGTCATCTACCGCGATTAAAAGAGAATGTAGTCGAGATAAATGAAAAACTTCTTCCACATTCTTGCACCGAGAGAATTTACTGTCACCTCACTCAGGAGTAAAGCCAGACATGTGCAGGCATGATGGTTGAGCGTCGACAGCCACCTGTGGAATTTCCAGAGCATCCCCCCCCCCCATCGCGTCCAAAGAATGGGAGAACCTTCAGTTTCTGTGTCACACACCGCCGGTCGATCAGATGAAAACACTTGTAAAGCGTTTTCGTGGCAGGGAGGCATCTTCCCCGATCCACATCTGACTAAGAGTCTTCAAACCCCACCTCCTACTGCAGAAAAAAGAAAGATCCGTCCTCTCTGGACGATCAGTAACAGCCTCACATACAAGAAGGGCTCACACACTCACTGGAAGAGACCGTTTGCTTCTCTTTTCATTCAGAACTTTTTCCCTTTCAGCTGGTGCTTTGTTTACGGCGCATGTTTCCTCAGCGTGTTATGTCGCGGCCGGCCGACTCCGCCATCGCGGTGAGGCTCTCAGGAGGGGACTGTTGGATTTGACAGCTGACAGCGACAGAGGGGAACCGGTGCCCGAGGAGACGAGGTTCTGGACCAGCGAGCACCTGAGAAGAAAGGAAAGGATTTCAACCCTGCCTGGAAACACCTTTAACCCTCATTCTTCCCATTGCATTGGTATTGCTTCTTCTGCCGCTTCTATGAATGGTATCAGCCGAGAGAACATGTCAACGAATGACACGGTGGACCATTGCAAAGCACCCAACCAAACCACATACGAATTCCTCTCCTGGCTGATGATTGGAGAGTTCGTGCTGGGTCTGCCTCTCAACCTGTCGGTCCTCTACATATTCATCTTCAGGTATGAGGAAACTCTGGCCGCCGTTTCGTTGTTATTTTGACACAGTAGTCAGAGAGAAATGTGGACATGGGCCGCGAGAGGTGAAGGTAAAGCCCTGAGACAGGGCAAAGGGTTCGACTTGAACTCGATAGTTGATGTTCACCCATTTCATCAGCGGGTAGGAATGGCCGGTGATTTAGCGAGTGATTCAAACTGAAAGAAAGTTATTGAGTCCAGGAGACTTTGACCTCCTGCAGTTAGTACGTACAATACCACCCTAATCGGCCATCGTGGAAACGACGGCTCAGTCGGGGGGGTGTTGGAGAGGATGCGGGCGGAACTCCATCTACGTATTGCAGCGGGCCACGAATGTGAGAGCAGGGCGGATAGAAAGTGACATCTTACTTAAGTGTTTTGTCGTTATTATAGCCACCAATAAATAAACTAAAAACTAAAAATGTACCTGTTTTTTTTAAACGTTGGATCCTTCAAGTTTTGTGTTGATACAATGAATAATTGTATACATGTGTAATACCACTGTAGCTTCCTGATGAAGAGCATGAGAGGGACGGCAGTCACATCCTGTTTGGATGCTCAGTCCATTTCCGCAATGAAAAAGGCTGAAATTCTCTAAACTGATCTGCATTCCTAACGTGGGCCCTAAAGTTTATTGCACTCAGTCGCTTTATTTGAAATTGTTGTAATAACAGTAAAAGTGATTTGAAATGGAAAGCGTAGTGATTTTTCATCACAAAACTTTTTTAAACAAGACAATCTGGGTGTGCTGATCTTGAGATAAACTCATGAAAGGGTTGAATGTAGAACCGTATTCAACACTGTAGGTCTGTGGACACATTCATGATTAATGTAGCGGGGAAGCAAATAACCGCTTTGTCACAACTTCCCCTTTAGGTACAAGTTCTGGAGGAACAAAAGCGTCTTCCTCTTCAACATCGTGGTCGCCGATTTCTTGCTGGTGGCCTGTCTTCCTGCCAAGGCCTACCACTACCATCACGGCCAAAGGCGCAGCTCCGAAAAATGGGTGTGCAAGACGATGCTCTTCATGCTGTTCCTCAACCGCGGCGCCAGCATCGGCTTCCTCATCACCCTCTCCGTAGAGCGCTACTTCAAGGTGGTGCATCTCGGGAGGAGGGGTATTGTCAAAGTGCTGAAGAAGGCCCCTCAGGTCTCCATCGTCATCTGGCTCGTCTTGCTGCCCCTCACCATCCCCACGATGGTCGAGACCTTCGAGTGCTGCAACAGTCACGGCCGCGAAATCGAAACCGTTTATCACGATGTGACGGACACATTCAGAGAGGTGTGCCTTTGGTATCTTTGCTTTTTTCCCCCCCTACGTGAGTTTGCATTAACGAGAGCTGTAAAAAGGAACTAAAAAAGGCATTTATAGATGGCAATCGGCCAATACACCAACATTTGCTGTCAACGACAATGACAACTTTATTTTACACTTCCTCATACCGTGACGCGTTAATGCCCTGTCCAGGAATCACAGCATGTTAAACTGCAGACACGGTCAAATTCATGGTTTTCTGACGTGATATCCTTGCGTTTTGGGTCTGCTACACTCAGACAAGACAGGTGAGGACATGAGGAGAGGAATGAGTCGAGGAAGAATGAGGAAGACTTGACTCAGAAATTAGTCGGGAACCGAAAACGGTCACCGAGAGCGGGGTGTGGATCGCGAGCTCTGCCTGTAGAGACACGAACGCAGCACACTCGCCGTGACCTTTCGTTTCTTTCCTTCTCTTAAGGTCGTGTACTTCGGCCAGATCGTCGTGCCCTTCGTCGTCCTGGTCTACTGCACGGTGCGCATCGTCAACCGGCTGAGGAGGAAGACGGTGGGGGAGAGGACCAAACTGAGGAGAGCCGTGTGGGTGGTCATGTCCGTCGCGGTGGTCTTCTCCGTCTGCTTCCTGCCCAGCACCTTGGCCCGAGCGGTGCTGCTGAGCGTGCGGCTAAACCCAGAATGGAGGAGCGCGGAGGACGTCGTGGTCCAGGTCTACGACACCCTCATGGTCCTGTCGTACATCGACTGCCTGCTGGACCCGCTGGTGTACTGCTTCTGCAACTCGGGGTTCAAAGACGCCTACGTGTCCACCTTCTGTCCTGCGTTTCTCCGCAAGAGGCTGCTGAAGACCAACCTTGGCTTGGGGGCGACGACAACAACAACCACCACTACTACTTCTGGAAATAGGGACGCGGTTTTGCCGATGTTAGCAAAATGATTTTTTCTTTCCCCCGGTGAAAGCTGTCTTTAACAGCTGTTAACATCGCAGATAGCTAAACCACACAAGCTACCCCAGCAGATTTTTAACGTTTTTCTCAGAAGAATGTCAGGGAGGCCAAAGACTGAAACCACGGCGGAGGCGGATGCCACCTGACATCCTCTGAGGGCATATCCAAACTCCTTACCTTACGTAATATTGTTGTTTTACGTCTATAAGACGAGTGGTATGTTTGTTTCAGCTGTATGTTTTAAACGGTAATATTTGGATGTATATATTTTTTGTATTTTTCTATGGTTTCTATGATGGTCCTTGCACTAACTTCAAAGACGGCCGCGCAAAATAGTCTCTGCTTTTTTCACATTCCATTTCCAGCTGTTGCTAACTAGCTGACTGATGTGTATGATCAGGGTGACCAGGGCCGCCTTATTTCTCAAAACAGGTCACAAGTTATGTTTGTGAAATGAGCACTACTGAAATGTCAAAGCCGTAAGGACCTAGAAGGCGTATTTAAAATTTCCTCATACAGTCTGCACGTCATTTTGTGATTTGAAATTGAAATATTTGTATGAGGATGAATTGCAGACTGAAGATTGTATACTACTGCTGTTACCACAAGATGGAGGTCCTTCATGTATAAATACCCCGTGAGCAATGCACCAACATGAGGTATCCACGATCTACCCTCCTACATCATTGACCTTCCTGATCACACTTCCCTTTCTCCTTTCAGACTGCAGGCAGGAATTGCAACAGATGAAATTGTTTGGCCAAAAACAGCCCATTCCCACGAATTGTTTGTCTATCCATTTCCTTACTCACGGTACTTTTTATTCCCCCCGAATGGTGTTTGAAACCTTTTGCGGTGTGTCCACATGTTTGCAGTAAGGGTGTAGCAACGGCAGAGATTGTGGCGGCTGTCAAGTCGCGGCTAGCAAGTTTAAAGCGATGCGATAACACACAGCAGCGACAGAACAAACCTGTGTTGTGCCTTCTTAAAAGGGTCGATGGCCGAGCCTCAGACTGAATGATGTTTTTCCGGAATTAAGCTCATTAGAAGAACAGGGAGCGTGCACTTCATGCAACTGGAATCAAACGTCTCTATTATTAAGTCTCGGGATCTCCTAAACAAGTATGGCAGGGGGGGGGGGGAGGGGTCCGTCAGACCGGCCCACTCAATACACGGCAATAGACCAATCTGTGGCCTACTTGGAAAAACACCAATGGACTTGACATTATTTCGCATGTTAACAAATAATTGAAATCATGCCTTTTTTTTAATTACATTTGGATCCATAACTTTGCCTGGATAGACACAATAAAATGATACTGGCTATCGTAACACAATCTCACTCACAGAGGGCCAAAATGAAAACATGGGAGTACGCTGGTGGCAATGGCCAGTAGGCGACACCATAATTATGACATTGATACAATACCTGCCCTAAATATCATCTAAATATCAATACAATGTAGAGGAATTTCTGGTATCAATACGATACCAGAAATACGTCCTGTGTGTGTCCCGCTGTGAGCATGCTCATTGCTCCCCGGGCAAGAATGTATAAAGCCATGGGTTATAAATGCAACGTAAGTCGCTTTGGATAAAAGCGTCAGCTAAATGACCTGTAATGTAATATGATATTGATATATATATATGATATATTTATTGTACTGTCCGATGTTTAGGCCTTGAGTATGACATGTCTGGGCTAGAGGGAATGACATTGAATGACACAGAAGAAACAAAGTTGGTGGCGAGACGCACTTTAATAGGAAGCTTTGGCCAAAGCGGAACGTTAGATGCTGAAATTCCTTAAATACGATGCTGAGGTGCGGATGTTCACGTCTGTATATCTTTTTTTCCCACCTAGTCCTGAACAGGAGAGTGAGCTGCTCAACACTCACCTGTTCCAAGGAGCGTCAGCAGTCGACTGTGCTCCTGTAGGACCTTGTGTTTCTGTGAACCAGCTCATATGAAGTCCAGGCTGAGCAGAAGACAACACAGCATGTTCTTTCACAGCAGGAACAACCGTCTGATGTTCTACTGCTTTTCAGTGGCAACACGATAAACATGTCCGATTACACAGCGCAGTCTTGTATGAAATAAATTGCTTTCTTTGTAAAGGTTTCCACAAAGAGTTCATTGTCCCGACAAGATTATGTTTTTTCTCACTATTTCGCCAACCAAAACAAACAAAAGAACAAAAAAAACTCCTGTTGCTGCCTCTCCTGCTGTATATTTTGTTACATTTGTATCTATTTTGCCACGTGTTATGCGATGCTCCATTGCACTGATAAGCAGGAATAAAGCAATATGATGTAAATAGCTTAGATAATGAACAGCGGCCCATGTCTCCTCTCCGCAAAAACCTATAAATCTCTGATGAGTGTTTGTGCTACAAAACTAATATTTTGTGTTTTTTGAAATTGAAATATTTTAGCAGTAAGATACAGAATATGCTCAGGCCCATTGCCATCTCAGAACAATTCGGCTAGAAACGAAATAATTCATTTACTTTTTACATGGAACGTATGTGTAATATTTCTCTTTTATGACATCATAACTTTATTAATGTCTCCCTTTCTTCTCTCAAGCAAAAGCCTCAAATCCTGCCAGGTGCTCGCTCCTCACATCCGCCACACGATGGCAGCGCAACACAATCATGCACTCAAACCAGGGACAGATTCAGGGATTGAATTCTCCTGAAATGAAATGACAGCCAATAATGTTGGCTGTGGGCTTTGCAGATATAGTATGAGGTTTATAAAACAAACCGAAAAATCTCAAAATAAACAGACAAAAATCCCAATCCCAATGTTGTTGTATTGGATGGACGATCAGTCACAATCACCAGTTGGCCAGAGATGTACCAAAATGAGCCAGATTGCTCCTGTATTTTAGGGACATGCAGCCGATTTCTTCTCACTTGGTGCCTTGTTGATTTCTGGGAGCAGATAACGCCTTCCCCCACGCCGGAGTGTCGGCACAGACACACGGCAATGCCACTATGCGAAGTAAAAGGGAGCATCTCGAAGGGGTCATTTCAAAGAGCCGGTTGGTTCGTCTTTAACAGACTCCCTAGTTATGTAGCCACAGAAACACACTAGAAAAAGAAATGCATCCATTAATTAATAATTCCCATTGTCAAAAATTGGAGCCACGGTGAGTAGAAAATGAATCAGTTATTAGTTTGTAGGTGGGAACTTGTGAAAAAGCGGCAGAGTTATCAGGGAAAAGAAATTCAAAATCTTATTGTTCAAACTTAACCATCATCACTCTGCTGAGAACCACAATCCCAACAAACAGACCTGGATAGAACAAAGGGTGAGCTGGGTCACACTGATGTGTAATGAGCCAATATTACCCTTTTATTGAAACTGGGATCCAGTCCAGCTGGTGTCGTCCTCATATGATGAGGGTGCCGCACAGCGCTGACATTAATCAGAGCATTGATTGATTGTTACACTGACGGTTTAGTGGAAGATGTTTTTTTCGGTATCATAAAACATCCATGATTTTACGTGTCAGTGGTTTTACAGCCTTGTGGTTTTTAACTCTGAGGCTTCTTTTTTTCCCCCTTCTTGACAGGTTTTCTTTGTTCAGAATTGACTAAAAACCCAAATAGGCAGACCAAAAATAGCAGTCAGATCTGGCTTGGCAAGGCCAGTCAGGTCCTGCAGTCTGCATCATGGTTGCGATCCAAAGCAGCCCGGATCCAAGGCGTCCCTCTGCCATTTTCTAAAGAGACCCGTCTCTTCCTTCTCTTTTTTTTTCTTCTCCTCCTCCTCGACTCCGTGACGGTGATGCCAAGCTTTGGAGGGCCTGGCAACAGACACGCTCTCCTCCTGCTGGTGTGCCGGTGTATTTGTGTTCTGTACCAACCAAACACACACAACCTTCTGTACCAAACCCAAACGCACACGGATGAACAGCGATGACAGATGAGTCGGGGACTGGAATGTTGCTTCAGGCAAAGATCGGAGGAAGGAGTGGACGTCTTCCAAAAATCAAACCCACCAAAGGTCAAATACACACAGTTCTTAATCGAGAACAAATCAAGAACAAGTCCGTTAAAAAAAGGACGATACTGTCGAGCTCTATTCCTCTCGTCGTTTCAGATTTAAACAGCGCTCAGGAAAGAGAAAAGACACTTTGGATTTCAGAAGCTTTTAATTGGATTTTATTTCTCTGCAAAAGTACTGTATTCAAAGTTGAAGATTAATAATCAACCTGAGCATAAAACATATCATTTAATCGTTAATTTATCTAAGCAAAAAGGTAAATAGTGGACTCACACACATCATATTAGATGCCTTCCTGATTGCATTTGGGGAGGAGACTGTGTAGGACTGGGGTCGCCAAATTTATCAAATTTAACAGCAGCAGATGCAGAAATGCTTTTTGTAATAAATGGACAAACCAATAAATTTCTCTCATACCAAACGCCTCAATGTAGTGTTGCAAATCAATTATCAATTGTTGATTTTCTTGCAGTGTGACAATCGTCTTTTCACTAGATTACATACATTTTGCACATCTAACATAGGAAATTGCGCTGCTGCTTGCGTTAAAGTGACTCGATGCAACGACGCACGCCATTGGCGAATATCTTGGTGCACTGGGAGGTTCTCGAACCGCAAAGTGCTGAGGAGACGGGCAGCCTTTATGGGCGTCTGCGCTGCACTTTCTGTTGCGTGTCCCTGGGTTACATCATACATCCTTTTGGTTTTCATGCATGGAGATGCATGTATTTCAAACACAAAGCTTTCTGATGCTGGAAGCATCTTAAATCTTTAATTACCCCCATTGTTGCATTCTCATAGACCAAAATGGCTCTTGGCAATCTAGGCCTTGGCTTTGATTCCGATTGGACAGGAGACCCCCGTCCCCCCCAGACCGCAGTAGCCATCAGGGTTTTTACTCAGGTACTGCTGGTGGTAGTCCTCGGCGTAGTAGAAAGGCTTGCCGTCGGCTATTTCTGTTGTGATGGCGCCGAAACCTTCCTCGCTCAGCACCTGAAAGAGGCAGAAGCAGCAAAGGCACCGCATTTGTACATTTATAAAGACGTAAACCTAAAAAAACAAATGGGATTTATTGTTGTTGAAGCAATGGAGGAACAGATGGATGACAGGATGGAAGAGTCCGTGATCTCTGTGGAATCGACCAAGTACCATATAACAGGAATAGTGTATGATGGGAAATCAAGTTCTATTAGATTTTGAAAACCCCAAAAGTTGTGCGTTTCCATGTAAACTTTCCCTACAAGTTTTTTCAGTGCACCGGTTTATGCTTTTACATTTTATTTCCCCTCCCTGGATCCTGTTGTATGCCTGAAACAATTTCTCCTCCTCCAGTTTCTCTCAGCAAGGCCTCACACTGGAAAGCACTTACTGACATCTTGGGAAGAAAAGGAGGAAATGTGTTTATGACAAACTAAAAAGAACAGACAAGGCACGTGCACACACACACAAATGTATTTGCGGTAGAAACAGTTGGTAATGACACCTTCTCCTTGTGATAAAATAACTCAACCAGATGGCATGTGGCTGAATCAAAAGACAAAGAGAGCATGAAAAGACACACACACACACACACACACACACACACACACACACACACTGATGGAAGTTACATTCCTAACGGGGAGGTGTTGCCTTGTTTTCTGGAATGTGTGCAGGCATGTTTACAACACAGCGTGATCATGCCATGGGAGGCAGGAGCGCTTCATTTGGCTCGACGTTGACATGTTTTGTGTTTTATCTGCAAAGCTGCTGTTCTCTCCTCCAGACGCGACAGCAACCGAATCCCAAATCCTCTGAAGCGACACCGCCGGGGTTTATGGTAATTACCCCGCTGGTGAACCTAAACAATAATAAAACTGAACCACGCCGTGCACGATGGTGAAGACTAGTTGGTTGAAAAGTGTGTGCCAATGCTTAATTTAGTGGCTGATCATTCAGGTTCAATATTTAATAATTGTGATTTTCAGTTAATTCTGCGGGTTTTTTTGTGACCATGCCGACGGTACTTACTGATCAATAGAAATGGTAAAAAGCATAAACAACTGAAGCAACAGTGGGTTCCAGCTGATAAAAATGACAACTAGTCTCGCCTTAGAATCTGTATTTCACAATAAAGTCAGTTGACTTTTATATATTTTCGTTTAACTTACTTTGTCTTGCTGGAGCAAATTTTGCTTTTTAAATGTAACTTCACGCCCACAGAACACCTAATCACAGGTGTCACCAGTGTTCACTTCACCAAACATCCCTCCAGCAGGCATTTGATGAATGGACGGGACTCAAGGCGCTTCATGTCATTGACCCATCCGCATCCATCCATCCAGTGATGGAGGGGAATGTCAGGTGAGGTGCCTCTTGCCCTTCAGGTCCAGCTCAACATTCTTACTTTAGGCAAAGCCTTCGGGAGGAATTTGGAGGTTAACTGGGGATTTAACAGCCAATCTTTGGATTGGAAGGAGAGCCGCTGTCGGCCCAGAACAGGGTTCACCAGAGAGCTTGAGGTCAACCTCTACAAATCACCGTGGTCTAAATAGATAGAACGGATATGCCACCTTTAACTCTTGAATGTAGATTAAGAAGATGTTTTCTTTTCATTTTTATTGTGTCAGGAAATATTGTAATGACATATTTCAAGAAACTGCAAAAGAAAATATGAATGAATGCTCGTTTCCATCCACTACTGGAATGGATGATTGGGAGTTGCATCATGAGACAGAGTGCCATCAAACGTCCCGTTCCCCATAGGAGAGATTGCGTTAAGTTTAGAGACTCCTTTGACTCTTTTAGCTCCACCATCATGTCATAACCATATCTTAGCTGGACTCGCTTTAGTAGAGCTTTGCGCTACATCTGGTCCCACATCTTGTTTCTGCTCCCTCAACTTTTTGTAATTGGTAATAAGTAGAACCTATTGTTCTATCCATTGCAGATTCATCCTTTAGTTAGTTCGAGTGTGTGTGTATGGCTTCAAACATGTATCTTGCATCATATCTGAGAAGAGAGAACAGGAATGTGTATGACTGCCAACGTTTACATTACTCAACTTTTTCTAATTTGTAATCACTAGAACGTATTGGCATCATTTTGCAGATGCCTGACCTGCTCAAGAGCCCCCGGGGGGGAAATACTAAAAAGTGAGAGACAATGGGACTTAAAGCTGTGCCGGATGATTTCACTCATGGGTTCCCCCTAATAGCCACTGAGAGGTAATTGTTTGAAAACCTTTTTAAGTTCACCGACGTCAGCGCTCGGAGGCTGAGAAAGAGGACGTCAGCAAACCAACCCGGAGGGTCCGAGATGCTGCTAGAGCCCAAAACGCCAGAGAGACCAAAGATCTAACGTGGGTGGGATCAGTGATGCTCCCTGCGGTTTGATTCATCGAGGTACAAAACAGCAGTGGGTCGGAACGAGACCCTGTTGCAGCAGCACCTCGTGATTTCATTTACATACAGTGAGCAGATATATATTTGCACGCAACATTTCAAACACAAAGCAAATAACGTATGAGGGAAAATATGTCATAGATAAAATAAAAAGGAAAATAATTAAAGTTAAGGTTATTACATGGCGCAGAAATACACTGATGCACACTCTTTGTATATCTAAAGATCCAGCAGAACCTTTCAGTTTACGACTTGAAGGCAAATCTTTGAATGGCGGTTAAATGGGAATCAATGATTGTTCAGGTCAGTCAGGGAAAAGTGTTTTCAGACCAAACATGAATGCTAAAGAGTGCAGAAATCCATCCACCTGCATGAACCATTCCACACCACATTCAAAAGTCATGTTTTTGCAGACTTGTTTTTTTTGCAGCATTGTGATAAAAAGAAGGCCACCAATAAAACAAAGATGTTTTCATCATGTCATAAATGACCTCAGTCATTGATCTAGATATTATAAAGATAACGGTGAAATAATTATTCAGTTTGAACTTTATACGTGTAAGAATTTCCATGTAGCTGTGTGAAAGGTGACCTATAAAACCTTACGAACAAGCAATCGCGTTAGTCCCGTTATGTCGGTTTAAATTCCCCGTCAATGTTTTGATGTGTTGTGACGTATCCGTTTTCTGGGTCGCCACTGGGGTCCACTGTTCTTTCAGAGCCCCTTTTTAGTCTCACGGGGCAGCACACACTTAAAAGATTTTCATTGTACTCTGCCTTTAAAATAATTGTACCGACACAGAGCTGTTGGTTGGATTTGGCTCTAGGCTTAAGATAATGGGTACCGACGTTAATCCTGCACTATCCCAAAAACGTCTCCATCTTCCGTGGTGCCGGTCGCATGGCGTCCCCAACCGCCCCCAACCGTCCTCCCTGCGTTTCAGTGCGCCGGTTCGAGCAGCTCCTGCAGCTGTTAGCAGCCTGCTATAGATGCATAATTCACCGCCATTCATTTGCATGTCAGAGAAGTAGATTTCTCATTTGAAATGCAAATACCTTGACTGCTGTGGTAAAGCAGGGGAAAACGTGAGCGCTGCAGATAAGCACTCGCGAGGTGAATCAGGCGTGTAAAAAGCACCGGAGAGGGATTTCATAGACAAAGGAGGCAAGAGAAAGAAAGGGAAGAAAAAGCAGCTGTTTTGTGTTTAGGAGACCTTAGAAGGGTGTTCATGAAAAGGAAATGTAGCCGGAGAGGTGCACTAAGAGGGAAAGAGATGCCAGAGCAAAGAATACACGCGGCTCCGCCGAGGGTGCACACATTATTACATGAAGCACGCAGACACACACACACACAGACACGCACACAGACACGCACGCACGCCCTGTTACCACTTCCACCTGCCATTTTAGATGCAGTGCACACCCTAATGACGGGTAGGAGGCCAGAGAAGAAAAGGGAGGCTCCTTTCATGCTGCAAACAAACGCCAGCCGACTGCCGGGTAATTTTCTGCAGTGCCGTTGTGCTTTACACACACACACGCACACACACCAAATTCCCCAATCCCAATACAATCGAGGCGGGCGGCGTGGAGAACATAGTCGATACCCTGACACCAAATGAACCAGAGCGTTGTCTCTCTCCTTAGCGCCGCTCCTGGCCCAACATTTCTCTCTTCTTCTGTCGGCACATCACTTTTTCACTCTTCCATCTTTTGTGTTTTGATGCGTGAAATGTGATTGGAGGAGGAGGAAAAGAAGAAAGTGACATTGAGCATTACTTGACTCGGGGTGGGAGGCTGGGAGAGGGGATGGGGGGGGGCAGAGTGGATCCTGATAAAGAATTCCGCTAGTGTCTGGGACTGCGTGTCCAGTAGGGCTGTCAACGAATATTCTATATGCGAATATATATTGGAATAGTTGTTAAAAACAACTATTCGAATGTGAATATTAATAATAGAATGTAAAAAAAAAAAATGTTAAATTGCTTGGACAAAACTCTTGATCAGCATTTGTTTATTGTTGTCGTTCATTTAAACCGCTTTGGGCAGAGAGAGAGAGAGAGAGAGTGCGTGGGAGCGAGCGAGAGATCTGCGGTCTTGGCCGTTAGTTAATTTACTTATTTTTGTGCAGGTAATATGTTGTTAAATCGGTTTAAACTTAAATAAATTACCTTTACAAGTAGTTCTGTCTCGTATTAATTTGTCCTGTTATTGACGCTAACCAGATATTCGAATATCTGGTTGCGCAGGAGAACCGCGGTGGTCGGCGGCCGAGGGGACAAAGAGAGAAAACAAGCCACCTACAGCGACTCCATCGACAGGAGGGAGAAGGGGGAGATTCTTTTTTTGGGGGGATGTGGGGGGCGCGAAGATGCATTAATATTTTAAAGATGCCGCTGTGCGAACGCTCGCCAAGTCAACGCGCGGCGGTGAATGCTGAATCCCCTCTCGACGGTGAGGGAGGAACAGAAGAAAGAAAACACTGAATTATTGAACTGGCCTCGTCTTTTTTTGGCAAGAAAAGGTTGAGGCTTTGTGTAAAACATCAGACGTAGAGAACTTGATCTAATATGGAAATAAAGGCATACGAAAGAACACACTATCCCAACGAAATGTAAAAGTCACCGCATGCATACGGCTGTGCTTGTGCATGGGTGTGTGTGCACGTCAGTTTTGCAACTGAAGCGTTTTTTGGGGAGGACAGATTTAAGGCCCAGATGGTTTGGCATGGAGTGTGTTTGCTGTAGGCCAACTGCTCTCTCACACACACACACACACACACACAGATGGGAGGGAGTGGGGGATGCAATCTGGTGAGAAAAAATAAGAGGGTAAACTAAATCTAGAAAGATTGATAGAGGGATGTAGTGATTATATGCAGGGAATCTATCAAAGACCATTATAGATAAAAGCTTCCTTCACGAGACCCCACAAAATTCAATAAATAGACCTAAAACAGTTATATTCTTACAGCCTTTCTGACTGCTGCAGTGGATATGTTCATGTCAACAAATGAAAAAACTTGACTACTCTGTGGGCCACGAGTGCTCACCAAATGTGTGACACTCTTATCTGCCGACAGTGACAGCGAATGCCTTAAACCTTTTTTTCATAATGGCCGTTATGGGGCGACTTCACTGGTTGCAAAATAAGTAGTATAGTAATCTATGAGAAAATATATGTACCTCAAAACCTTTATCATCTCAGGCAAACATTCTAAAAAGTCCCAACTCTTCTAATCTATGATCGCCGGCGGGCGCGCGTGTGGTATCATGCAGGTTTCATGAAGTGTTTGTGTGTATTTTATTTTATTTCTTCTAAGTTATAGTCAATTTCTTTACATTGACTGTTTTAAACCTCCGGCTCCTGTGTACTTAAGGGATTCTCGTTACTCTATCTCACTATTTCTGTGAGAACTCCTTTACATTTTAAAGCGTTTCCCCACATTTTTACAGCTCTGCTTTGACATACATGTCCTTTTCTTGTGTTCCCCTGCGTTTCCTTATGTGTGAAATAACTGAGCGAGCGTAGACACAGCACGGCCGTGCATCGGACGGCCCGGCAGACATTGTGATGATGTGAATACAGCACGGTCATCTGGGGGAGATGTGCCGCCGGAGATCCGTGCAAACCCGGCGGCGTCGTTTCGGAGCGATGTGGTACGGGGGGGCCGTCGGCTGGTGCAATGGACAACCAGAGAGATCAGGAGGCGGCGTAATGGTGCAGCAGTGGAGAGGGATTAACGCTGATCAGATCCAATCCGTACCGTCTTCTATTAATGCCTGTGATCTGCGACAACTGGTTGATTTCAGAAGCATTAACCTCGCCCACATAGAACGAGTCCCTAACGTGCCCACGGAAAGATTGTCAGGTATAATTGCTCAGGCTCTAGACGCCTCTCCTGCAGGCAGCGTATTAAATATCGTAATGAGGGGGCCCCCCGCGGAGAGTGACGTACAAACTGTTTTAAATTTAAACAATGCGTACAATGTTGCAAGAGAAACTACCGGGATTCGTCCTCCATGGACCAACTTAATTCATAAATCAAGGAAAATCTATAAGTAATGTTAGTAAAAGTCAATCTTCCTGGTACATGAATGTGCTCAGTGAGATTTTTATATATCGTATATTGTGTTACTTCTAAAATACCTTGAACTTGATGCTCAAGCTCACATTTGTGTTGTATCGCACAGCGAATGGGACATCATTTTATCAGTTTCAACACAAGAGGGAACAAAAGCATACTTGCACACGTCAGCTCCTTCTCCACTAAATGGGCTTTCTGGGCCTTGAAACATGCACATTTAACAAGCTGCATGATATTAACATCTGTATACTTCTGGGGAACAAGCTGCTGCTCTTTGAAGCCTTGGGAAATAAGTCTAAAGATACTTTGGTAGAAAGGCTGTTAAACTTTACAACCGGGCTTCAGCGATTGTTTGAGAGTTCAAGCCCCTTTCAGATATACAAATATTTACATAATTATGAGGCAGTTATGTTGGCCTGATGTGTGAAAAAGCACTATGGTGACTTTACTTGAAATGAAGTTCATCTCCACACCGTCCGGTTTTAAATCACAACAGTCTGTTTTAGCTTCAGGTCCCGGTCCGGATGGGACGGCTTCTGGGTCCGGATCCGGACCGCTAGTTAGTGACCTCTGGCATAGGAATTCAATTATTAGTATTTTTTTTAATTTGGTTGGTTCTGGTCTTGGCAGATTCGATTAGAAAACTGTATTAATCCCCAGTGGGGAAACTCATTTGCTACCAAAACATGAATTCAGACTCAGACAGACAACAATAGACACAATGCACAGAGCACAACAGACAAGAAACACGTTACAAGGAACAAACAAAACCAGAAGATGCGATATGAAACATGATCAACATCAGAAAGGTGTCCATTCAAAAACCAGACTACTGCTGCTGGTATAAAAGATTAAATTGCTTTAACTGTCTGTGTGGAATCTCTGTGTGCTGGGTCATGTATACAGTCGTAACACAAATAGACCCCAAGATATCCTCAACTATCACTGAGGAGACCACCTCCCTCTACCTGCTAAAATCAATAACCAACTCTTTGGTTTTTCCAACATTTACTGTCAAGATATTGAAGAATAGAGTTCTAGAGAGTGTAGAATTAGACTTTGCCGTAATCCTGGTCCGGTACAGGAAACATCAGTCGGGTCTGAATTACTCTGGAATGAACGTTAACGTAAAATACAGTTGTGTCCTTTTAATAGATCAACTGAGCAAAATGTGGTATTCCGTGTGTGAGAAGGGTTTCAGTAACAGTACTTGCTACGATGTAGTATTGTAAGTTACGGTTGAACCTGGAATCCCTTTCCATTGCTTCGCTGATGATGTGCAGGTGTACTTGCCACTAAAGGCCCAATCCAAGGAATCCCTTCATGCTGTGTTTAATTGTATGATGGACATTAAAACATGGATGGACCTAAACTTCTTAAAACTAAATGAAAACAAAACAGAGATGGTGCTATGTGGTCGCCCTGACTTGGTCCAGGTCCTTGCCAGCTCCCTTGGCCCACTAGCACTTTACACAGGTTCCCAGGCCAGAAACCTTGGTGTGATTATTGATGGGGCATTTAAATTGGACAAGCAGGTCAGCTCTGTGGTTAAGGCTAGTTTCTTCCAGCTTCGGCTGCTAGCCAAAGTCAAACCCTATCTAAAAAGGGCTGACCTCGAAAAAGTCATTCATGCTTTTATATCTTCGCGCTTGGACTGTTGCAACCGTATGTCGGTATCGGCCAGTCAGAACTCAACCGTCTACAGCTTGTGCAGAATGCAGCAGCCCGTCTCCTGACCGGGACAAAGAAGCATGGTCACATAACGCCAGTGCTTTCCTCTCTCCACTGGCTTCCGGTGAGGTTCAGAATTGATTTTTAAGAATCTTTTATTTGTTTTTAAGTCTCTGCATGGAATGGTCCCAGAATATTTATCCAGCCTTATTAATATACATAAACCGTCCAGAGCCCTGAGGTCAGCTGACCAGCTGGTTCTGACCGTTCCTCGGTCGTTCCTAAAAACGAAAGGAGATCAACCCTTCGCAGTAGCGGCTCCCAGACTGTGGAATGCTTTGTCGTTTTCTTAAAAACTATCCTTAAGACTCACTTGTTCACATTGGCCTTTGGCTGAGTTAAGTCACCTGCATTGGATCTTTTATTTGTTTGTTTGTTTTAGGTTTGCTTGGATTGTTGCTGATTGTTTTTATCCTGTAAAGCACTTTGGCTGGCCACTGGCCTTTAAAAGTGCTATATAAATAAAAATTGACATTGACATTGAACCCAGGAACCTTTTTTTTTTTTGTGCATAACATCAAATCACAGCCTTGGAGGGGACTAAAACAAAAGACCGTAAGAGAGACAAATCATGATGAACGACACAAGGCTTCAGACAGAAGAAATGGCTGTGAGCAGCAGGAAGAATAGGACAGAGAAAAGGGAGAAGCTCATAAAAGACCAGACTACACTAGATTAGAAAAGAATAGACTAGAGCAACAACATCTTCGTCAGTTTCCATGGCAACAAGCCCTGTTGGTGGGGTAGTGGTGCAGGAGTCTCAGCAGGAGAGAGTTCAACGGAGGGAGTGTGTTTCACATCTTTTGTGTGTGTGTATATGTGTGTTTGTGTTATTAAAAGCATATGGAAAATGGAACACAGACACATCCATAATATATATCGGTGTTCAGCGTCAGACGGCAAAATAATCTGTGCAAGTGTTCCTGAGATAATGTGAAATAAAGAGGGATGGGCCGCAGCGGGGGATGCTGGGAAATAGAGTGACGAGGAAGAAGGAAGAAGATGAGGACAAAGGAAAACAGAGAATTGAGGATGATAGAGGCATTCTAGGCAGATCTGTGGATAGGTGTGTGTACCTTCTGGTATTGACCTTTGGAGGCCAGAGCTTCCTCCAGTTGCTGCTTTGTGTCGGCGTAGATGACGGAGCGGTATGCCGTCCCCATATCGTTCCCCTGACGCATCCCTGAACACACACACAGAAAGGAATAACAACACTTTAGGATTTCAGCTGATGTGGGTTTCAGTCCTCCTCCGTTCCTGGCTCAGGCAGCATTGTCCGAACACAACGGCTGACAGGACTTTCCAAAAATATAACTTGCTCGTCTTGGCCGAACTGAAAGCTACATTTTTTTTTAAATCATTTCATTTTTGGATCATTTCATCACGTACTCCTTTCACCGGTTTCAGCCGCTCGAGTGGTGCAGCTGGTGTGATGACAGCGTGCGTCTTTGGTCTAAAGTGAAACATTTTTGTGACTCAAACGTACGAGTCCTAATGACTTTCGTACCCTCCTAAATTTGGGATCTTCGGCTTCTCAGGGGTCAGGATTTTACATTCCAGTTCCTGACTCCCGACAGGGATTCGCCTTACCTCTGCTTTCCATTAGCATGCCAACAAGTTGTGACACTAGCATGTGACATCAAAGATTACTAAAGCAGGTCAATCTCAGGGTCTCCCCTGATGTAGCACATCTGGATCTGGACCCTATTTCTATGCTTTTGTGCCTAAGCGACTAATGAGGAGGAAAAAGTATTCAGTATTCAGTATTGAGCGAGAGAACTGCAGTTGCCTCGCAGGTATCGACACATTCTTTTAGACCCATGAACAAGGGCTTTATTTTCCTTCGAGGTTCAGTGATGGGAGTGTCCGTACCTTGAGTCGGGTTGTGGCTTTCCCAGAACACCTTGAGCAGGCCGGCAAAGCTGATCTGCTCCGGATGGAAGACGACTCTCACTACCTCGGCGTGGCCGGTCATACCTGCAAAGTAAAACTCCTGTGAGTTCATAGGACACACTGCAGCGTTTCCCCATGGTTTACAACTTTAGGGGGGCGGAGCAGGCGACAGATGGGGGCGGTAGTCGGGCAAACGGTTTTGATATAATGGGTTAGGGGAAACACTGCACTGAAGTCAAACAGACATCTAGACCTCTTTTGTGTTTGCAAATGTCTTATTTGCAGGATGTTTTTATGCCATAATTCTTAAACTAAAGGTCTCATGCGTTCAATTTGCCTTTTGCATATAAAGAAGAAGTTGTGGAGGAGTACCTTTGGTATGGCAGAATAACAATGAGATATTTGGGAGCAACATAAAAATGTTAGATATAAATTCAATACTATTTAGAATTTGTATAGCAACATTTTTCTCTGATTAATTTTCATTTAATTTTTTAACCATTCCTTGTATTTTTTGGTCGAAAAGCTCCAGGAAAAGCAAGTAAGTGGACCTTGAGACGAGACTGTCAACATCTGTTTCAAACAGATAAGAATAATCTGTCTAGGATTCTCAGAAAAACTTTAAAAGCCTCCAGTTACCTGGCAACTGAATACGAGCTGAAAAAATATCTGAAAAACTCTGGAACAATTCTTGAAATACATGTTTTTTTGGTCAAATCTACAAATAAAAGGTCCACAGCACTCCAAGGCTGACTAGAATGTTCCGGCTGACAAGCGATCGCTCCTTCAGACAGACAGACGTCAGCTGGTGTTGGCAATGCACTGTGACCCATTACGCCGCACCTCATTTTCCTCCCGTCTCTCATTCTGCCTCCACTCCCATCCCTCTCTGTCTCTTATTACTTTTTTAATATCAGGAGTTATGGATTCCTACGGTAGATATTGGCAAACGGAGACAAAGCAGCGGTCGATATTAAATTAATGCCTCACCGGGTCAATCTCGCAGGAATACATCCATTTCGGAATAGACTGGAAATAAAGCAGTGGCTGGAATGGGAACAGAGAGTTGTTGTCCACTGTCTACACGCTTAACCTGTAAAAAATCATTATGCTGTGTTCTCATTACGTCACTATTTCAACACAAACCACTGAATGTGTGTCTGATCATTAACCATCTGGGGCGTATCTTAATGCAAAGACAAGGACTTTGAAGGCAACAACAAAACAGTGGTGGAATGTAAGCAAGTACATTTAATAAAGTACGATGCTTGAAGTTAGCAGGAGCACCATTTAACCACCTCACCCGACTTCATGCTGAATGACACTGCTGGTCCATTCCTGGTTTGAAAAAGTCATTGCATTGTATTTATGTTAGATTATTTTATTTGGTCAAAGAGGAAATACTTGATTATCTCATTTTTTATATTGTGCGTGTTCGGCTACTAGCAGTCAGAAGTTATCATTTATTTAAGATGGATGAATTGAAAAATTTGAAAATAAAGAGTGAGAGTGTTTTTCATAATGTAATTAATAAAAAAGGCCCATGTTTTGTCTATCAAAAAGAAGAAAAAAAGTGCAAATTGAATAAAAAATGTCCCACTGATCCGAGTGTATTGGGATCAGTGTGACCAATTCGCCACGTGTGGACTGTCACTGCTTTGCCAAGATACTGTGCCAATTACCAAAACACAGAACAGGTTTAAATCAAGAAAACTAAACTAAATATACATATTTTAAAATGTACAATAACAGTCAAAGTTTTGGACAGATTTTCATTCAATGGGAAAGAACTTTTGACTGACTCTATGCGGTTTACAGATACATTTCATTGAACTGCTCCTGCTAAAAATGACAGAGAAGTCATGCACTCAACCGCTGCCCTCCAGCATTTCAGATGGATTTACTCGCTATTTTACTCAGATACAGATAGATTATCTATGCAGGATAAGTGGCCCTCTGGATGCCTCCTGGATGTAACAGGTTTCTTATATTGGGCGGAAAATAACAAGTACTTTTACGACCTACTTTTTAGTTAGTTTATCAGTTTTGCCAATAAATGCATTTATGAATTCCAGGCACGATTGTTATGAGAGACACGATGCAATCGTTACATTCAACAGTGAACCTTAACTGAACGGCTGAGCCCGCGGCTTAAATTACCGTTAGTTTATGGTTTAGTTCGTAGACTTTTCCTTGTTGCCATGGAGGAACGATTTTATTTAAAAACTGCTGACAGGAAGGTCTGTGGATTATATTGAGAGACATTGCTGTGGAATTTTTCAAAAGCGCATCTATATATTTATTTGTACCGTTTATGGATGGATTAGGGATTATGGCTCATTGACAGCTCTTCGCTTAAGTTTTGAGAAGAATACAACGAGGAGAAAGAGAGGTAGTGAGGCAGGTCTAAGGATGGATGAATCTCCGGGAGGGTTAGACATGCATTGCACATAAATGCACACACACAAACACACACAATCAGCTCAGAGTGGTCAAGCCTCAGGAGCAGCCTTATCCCTGCCCCCGTATAATGGAGCCTGTGGGAAATGATTTTCTCCTCTGCTAATGTTGGTGTTGTTTTCACAGTGCATTTATTCTCAGTGGTCTATGCGGTGCCCAGTGCAGTGTGTGTGTGTGTGTGTGTGTGTGTGTGTGTGTGTGTGTGTGTGTGTGTGTGTGTGTGTGTGTGCAGTGTGTGTGTGTGTGTGTGTGTGTGTGGAAGCTACCTGTGCACACTTCCTTGTAGGTGGGGGTAGCTGTGTATCCTCCTGCGTAGCCCACTTGGGGGGAATAAACCCCATTTTGTCTCCAGAACTTTCTCTCTGCTCCCCAGAAGCAGCCCATGCCTGCCAGAGCAGAAACACAGACTTTGTTGGACGGCGGACTGCAACCTCCAAATTCGTTTCAACCGGCGACAAGACGGACATGTCAATAACATTTCATACGCTAGCGTGTCCCAAGTAATGTTAAAAATAACTTAACCTCTTCTTGTATCTTCATCAGTTAAGTGAAGACGAACCAACGTTTCATTTTAGATTCAGTGGTCTAATAAATATCAGGCTGCATAGTGAAGCTTAAAGGTGTACTGTTTATGTAAATGTTAAATAAAATACGGTAGAAGGTATTCGGATCATCGTGAAATCTCCTGTGATCCAGTATTTAGGAATAACTGGACGAAAAGATGAAGTCAATTTTAAACTTATAAATGACCAGTTTTAGTTCTATCTTCTCACCAAATACAGCCGTCTCTGTCCCTTCTGGGAAAGGTGGAACAATCCTGTTCCCGCTCACGTCGTGTTTGGCTGCATCAGAAAAAGAGACAGACACAGAATATTAGACGAGTCTTGTTGACGACTGGGGGCTCAAACTGCAAAGGACTGCTCTTTAATACACGTGGGACACAGCGGAGTGTTACCTTCAAAATCTGCTTCAGCTATAAAAAGTTCTCACTAAGCAGAATGGATCCTTTCAAAGTGTTACAAATAAAACATTCTGTTTTTAGCACACAAGACCATTTCGATGTTTCAGACCAACGGGTAGCAAATGTTAGATATTGTGTATTCAGTTCTGCCAATTTATCTTAGTGTTTTCTCCCTTCCTGTTCAACACAACAGCTTGCTGTACGTACGATACATATTTAAGAAGAAAACCTGAATTTTTCATAACACCCTACCACCACCAAAAACATAAAAAGATTGAATTCACCGGAGACCCACACAGACGCACAGTGACCCACTTAAACAGAACATCGCAGCAGCTGCATTCTCTCCAATCAACACACAGCCAGAGGTGCACCAAGACCCATTTGAGGCCAGCCAGCCACCTGGTTGAGCTAACGCGCATTAGCGTTAGCATGCTGGAGGATCTGTGAACGAATGTGTTTGTGTGTGTGTGCGTGTGTGTGTGTACAGATGGCTTGCTGTACAATGCCGTGGGGGAGGGAGATGGATTAAAATAAATGGGATGGAATAGAATGAGAATTAACCCAACATCTGGATCACCCCTCCTCCTCCACGCATCCACACACACAGTGTTCATGCATGGAAACATAATGGTTGTGTGGAGCAGCATGCCTATAGACTAAATCAGCCAGATGGATACTGCCAACCACTCAGCAGCCTTCCAACAAACACACACATTTGTGAGGCAGATTTTATTTTGTCATTTGCGGTATAGATTTTAACTTGGAAAACACACACACACACACACACACACGTGCGCACGCACATGCACACCCACGCCACCTCCCCCATCCGGAGTGGTCCTTGTTTGTCTGATGTGAGCGGCCTTTCATCCGGATGAAAGACAGCATCATCTTCAGAGACACCTTCTCGTCCCCTCTGTATTCTGATTGGTCGGTTGCGGCTCCTCACCTGTTATCCAGCTGTCACACAGTGTTTCTATGCTAAGTTGCGCACAACATTGGCTTTGGGTCCAAAATGCAAAACAAAAGCTACGGAGCTGTAAATTTGCATTAATAATGAGCGGGAAAGCAATTAGTATAGTATGTTGGACAAAAACAACCTAATAATCGCAGAGACAAGACTATTTAAGTTATTTTAAAAGTTTTATGATAAATGTGTGTTTCTTGACCATGTATTTTCTGTGTTTTATTGATGCATTTATCTACGTAAGTGGTGTTCCTTAATTGACTCATGGTAACGTCAGTATTATCGCATGTGTACCGTTAGAAATCACAGCTCCTGAGAATCATCAGCCTGAAAAAAACTGAAAATGTACGATCCTTCTACTGTATCAGGGCAAGGATGCTCTTCCTCCTCCTCTTCCTCCTCTTCCACCTCCTCACACATTATCTTCTCTGTGTGCATTAGTAATGGCCGCCTTTGGGGAGCAGCGAAGGCATGTTCATTACTGGCCACACACACAAACACACACCCACGCGCACACAACTCATTAGTATTCTGTCCGGACGTATTGTCTTTCCCCACTGACATTTACGTTTAAATTGTTTATTTATCAGTGTGTGTGTGTGTGTGTGTGTGTCTTCTATATATATATAAAAATAAAACCACACACACATTTAAAAAAATATATATATATATATAAACGCATAGAAGCTCTGAAATGTTGCTTTTTTTTGATTATATCATATCGATATCAAACATACACACAACCCCATTCAGTTGTTTCTGGAATAATCAAAACCAGAGCTGATAAAACCCCAAGTGTTTGTTTTATTTTTAAAACAGCATTTACAGGGGAATTTGCCCACGTTAAAAAGGGTCAGCCCAGATTTAGTCGCACAAATGAGCTCCAGCCGCGCACGCAAATCAAACAGACGCGACAAAAGCTGCTTGCAATTTATTTGCTCGTCTGCGAAATTTGACGAGGTTTGGAACCAGTTAGATGTAAAGATACCATGGTGACTGGGTCCGCCCCCTTACTGTCAAAAAAAAAAAAAAAACTCGCAAAGAAGCAAATTAAAAAAAATCACAAGCAACAGAAGTCATTACATTTTGGCGTTTTCTCTGCTGGTTTACAGGTTTACCATCATTCTTACTGGTAGATATGTGACCTCATCAATTTCCGTTGCGGCTTCAGCCTGAGCAGAGGTGCCACCAGCAGCGTCTTACAGCGGCTTGAAGGATGGAGTTAGAGCTGGGAGGTTTCGGGCTTCTCATGAAGCCTGAAGCGGTGTGTGAAAAGTCGTCTCCGACCAAGCGGAGCGGAAACTAGCAAACACACGGCGTCCTAAAAATAACCACACAGGGCGGAGACAAGGGGTGAATAATCACCCAAACACAGTAAAGAAAGTGAATTACTTTTCAAAGGCATTCATTAATATTCTCCAGTTATCTTTTCCTTCACGCGCGCACACACACACACACAGACGGACAAACAGACGCATCAAGTCTGTGAATACAGACGCATTTTTATGGAAAGTAATTATTCCGTGCGGCAATCCTTTGAAACGCCTGTTCTGGTCGTCACCTTTATCTCACTGGGAAGGATAACAACGCCTCTTTTTGATAATTGAATAATTTTTGTGTGAGGTCGGATGCAAACAATGTGTGTGTGTGTGTGTGTGTGTGTTGGAGAGAGACAGAGAAAAAAACTCCAGACAATGAGTTTCTTGTACCTTGCAGGAGCACAAAAATATGATATGATTTCGCGGTTTGTTTCCGAGAGAAGATTTATGTTTGTTTCAGCTAAATAAAAGCCGGTTTCTGAGCGGTTCTCTGTGGCGACCGTGAACGGAGGAACTTCAAGAGACTTTAAGCATTAAACAGCTAGTCGTTTTTTTGGGGTACAAATGTGTGCGTGTGAGCAGCCCGTCTGGCTCCCGGCCTCTTCTGCGGCTCCCAAAATCCTGTCACAATGATAAGCCCGATCGCAGAACAGGCCTATATGCATGGTGACATCTGCGACACACACACACACACACACACACACACACACACACACACACGTGCGCACTTCATTAGTGCTGCTCTATTTCAGCTCCGGCCTACATGCGTTTGGAGGCAGGCAGAGCCGCTTCACAATCGGCTTCGATGCGCCCGTCATCCCTTTTTTAATTGTCTGTGGGGCAACTAGAATGTGAAAAGGGTACAAAATAAATAGGTTGGCGTTTCGATTATATGTACGAGTACGTTTACATCAGTGGAAAGGGTGGTCCTCATGAATGTTTTAACAATGTGAAGTGCACCTTAAGGGGGCATATTTACTGCCTCTCCGTCGGCGCTCAACACGGCGACGGTGGAGAAGCGAGCGGTTGCTGACAGAGCGAACCGCGTTCCACTCGATGGGTCCCTAAGCGCCGCGCTTCATCGATTGCGGCCGAATTGTGAGAGCGGCGCGCTGCAGCGTCCATGGGGGGGAGCACATCCACAGCATGCTCACATGCACAGAAATACAATGGATCACAGAATAGTGTGCAGTGCACATGTAACCCTAACAAGAGGTTATGAAGCCCGAACCTCCAGCAATCATCAATTGTTTTCCAATCGATTCGAACGCCTGTGAGTTGTCCAAAATGTCACCAGTTTAACATTGACATGGGTCACGGTGACACACAGCGATTAAATGGATCCATGTGGATCAGCAGTTGACTTTGAGGACCACTATTGTTCTGATGAGACTGATCGGAGAAATTATTACACTGGTTTGTTTTAAGATTCAAGACGATTTAATATATCTACACAATTTACTGACAATATAGAGAAATACTGGGCCTCACACCGCCCCTCCTCCCTTCCTCTCCCCCGACCACCCCCCCCTCCCCGAGCCTGGAGAGGCACTACGGCCCGGCCTGGATGTCCAGGGCTCCCCCTTCTCCTCCCCCCTGGAGCTCCAGACCTGACAGTGATGAATGAAACACTGCAGCTAATGTCTGCCTCGTGGATATTGGAGACACACACACACACACACACACACACACGCAAAAGATTGCTCAACTGCACTGCAATTAAATCTACAAAGTACCCCCCCCCCGTTTCCTCCTCCTCTGTGTCAACCTCTCTCTCTCTCTCTCTCTCTCTCTCTCTCTCGCTCTCTCATTGACTAGTTTCTTCCTCTTCCTCCTGCTCCCCCTCTCTTATCATCTCCCTCCTCCACCCATCTCTCTCTCTCTCTCTCTCTCTCTCTCTCTCCCTCCCTGCATCCGAGCCTCTCAATCAGCCACTGATTGCCATCATCGTTTTTATTACTGCCCGTCATCACGGCCATCGGCGTTATCGTCATCGCTCCGCCGCAGACGGCCTCCAGGAAGACGAGCCTCGGGTGTTTTTTTTAGGGGTTTCATGTTGTAAAAAGAGGTTTGTGGTTCTTCAATGGGCTTTGGACACACTGACCAGGGCTGTTGTTAAGGAGATGCTTCCACTCGGGGGAAACGTTAACGCTAGACACAACAAAGACGACGGCCCGTACTGGATATGGATTGACGGGGGCAAAGCTTCAACCAGGAAGACGTTCAGCAGAAGCATACGACCGACGTTAAAATACATGGTGATCTCTTTTCCTTGAGCAACCTTGTGTGTTCTGTTGTACAATGGAATCGGAGAACCCAATCTTAATTACAATAAAACAGCTTGTGAAGCTTTTAGTAACTACAAAAACAGCCTCAATAACTGTAAAAAGCATTTGATTTCAGAAATGGCCCAATTAGAATGAATCGTTTCCATGGAAAGAAACAGATCTGTTTTTTCAAAAGAAATACTGAGACCAAATAGATTTGTGGTTTTAAACGTGTGTTTGCAATCCTGGGGAAATCAAACTGGCGTAGGCAAATTCCAATGAAATATTTCAATAGGTTTTCATAAATCAGTTTTTTTTTTATTGT